ATTTGAGTCTGCTAGAGTTACTGCTTTATGTAACTGTGATGTTTCTTGTTTCTTGTAGAAAAACTCTCGCAGTGACTGTATTTGTTTGTAGTGAAGGTTAACTATGTCAATCAGGCCACGTCCGCCATCTTTACGTGGAAGGGTTAATCTTTCTGTGGCAGATTTAGGATGATGTTGTTTATGCTTAGTAAGTGTTGTTCTTGTTTTCCTTTGGAGTTGCTCGAGATCTGTGTGAGTCCAATGTATAACTCCAAAAGAGTATGTGAGTACAAATTAAAATCCATTTATTGACAATATTGCTCTATAATTAAACTAGATATTCTATTAAGTAATAATAAACTTTTGTATACACTTGACAGTCCTCCCAGACAATCTCAACACTACTTTGAAAAATAATTCCGGTCGTTTGACGTCAGTCAATTATCCAGCCCATTACACGAGTAACATGCACTACGTAATAAAGATCGAAAGTAATCCTGCATCAAGGATTGTTATCAACCTGGATCATTTAGAAGTGGAGTGGCAAGAAGATTGCCTCTACGACTATTTAGAGATAACTGAGAGATTGGCTGAAAGAGGAAAACGATTTTGTGGATCATTAATTGATGAAAAGTAAGAAAATATGTCTATTTTATTAGTGTTTTCAAGAAAAATATGTCTATTTTTCTTGAAAATATATTTTTCTAGAACAAAGGTTCTCAACCTTTCTTTATTCGTTCATCTCCTGCGTCTTCTGTGTGTTGACATGAAACGCTAACCGAACCTTCTTGCGTACTTCTGGGGAACATGTATTATCAGTTGAGAACTACTCGTCTAGAACAAATTACTGTACTATTGAATCATTGTGTACTTTTGGTACACAATGATTCAACAGTACAGTAATTTATACACTCGACCCCCTATAATACGGGTTGCTATAGTTCGGATTCCTATATCACGGCGAAAAAATTGTGACAGTATTCATACAAACATGCTAAAAAAACCCCTATAATTCGGTAAAACGTCATCGCCGACTCGTGTGGAATCAAATACGCTTAATGAGTATCTTAATCCTTTCTTAAATAATAGAAAAATAAATCTTAATTTTTGATTTATATTTAATACATGAGAATTGTTTATGTTTTATATTGTAGGCTTTAATAACCTGTAAGCCTTCAAACAAGTCGATAAACTCTACTAATTAAACGAATAGTGAAAATCCTGTTGGGCTAAATTACAGCTAATTAATTAATTAAGATATTTTGGAATTTTGCTAAAGATGGGCTATTAAGCCGCCATCTCGTGTTAAATTTAATAATTAGAAATAAATCAATTTAATTTAGAATATTCTGGAATAAAAAGTCGGCCCGACATGGAAGTCGAAACCACAACCCCTGTTTACGGTGCATATTCGTTGCCAGTGTGGGTTCGAGTTCCGCTCCGGAATAACCTTAACTTCCAGAATAATCTATATCAGGGGTGTCCAACCTTTTTGTTTCCCTGGGCCACATTGAAAGAAGTCATGGAGTTTTGGGCCACAAGTATATTTTGGCTCAATCCTTAAATATATAAGTATATTTAAGGATTAACATGTCTAGATTATAGTAATAAGTATTAAAAGTTTACCACAAAAAAGAATATTTTAAAAAATTACTTCTACAGACACTTTCAATTTTTATTTAGAAATAGATAAATTCATTTATTATAAAAGAGACAAACAAAAATTTATTTGAAAAACACAAATATTTGTTTTATTTGGGTCTGTAATTAATAGAAACGACGAAACACCATTTTAAAGTGCATTTTTATTCAACTAATATATTTATAAATAATATATAGCCCAAAAAGTAGCCAAAGTGCNAGTATTTCAAATGGCATGCAAATTGACCAACAATGGTATAACATCATAGAGGGTGCAACAAGTCAATAGTTTATATATTTCTAGGATTATACATTGTCGTGTAAAAATTTTATTGTCAGTTTTACCTTTTTTTAAAGTTTATACAACATATACTTCTGTGTGTTTTTTTGTGACACTTTTAAAGAAAACCTGTATGTATGTATTTTTTGTAAATAACCTTTTTTAAAGAAAAAAATTTGTTATAAATAGGTGATTAAAATGTTACTAATAATTATAATTTGTAATTAGTTGTGTAGCATAATGATATGGATTTCGATGTAAAACGCCCTTAAGAGAAAAAATGGAAATTGTCAAAGACATTATAAATTAGAAATGTGAGATCCGAATAGCTTCCGGGTCTAAATTAATAATTTAAAAGGAAAGTAAAATCTTTCCCGAAAAATATTCTTCCAATTTGATGGAAAAATAACTTTTTTCTAGCGTGGGAAAACAGCTAGGAGAGTCACTTCCTTTGACGGAAGTATGAGTATCCTCTGTTTTTCCCTTATCTGCTAAAAATCTTGCTTTGATGGAAACTGTTTACCCCTCATTTCTCCTCTTCCCATCCGTTCACGTGGATAAAGTCTCGACTGATAATTGGTCGTAAATCAGAAGATAGATGAGAAGTTCAATCGAATTCGGGGAGTTCGTCAGAAAATCTCATAGAGGAGAGATGTCTCCCATATTGGCTCCACATCGCCCTGAGGAGTTCGTCAACAGATTCCAGAGTATTCAGACGAAATCCATACAAGCTCCTAAAAGCCAACGCCCTATGCTATGAGCAAATACAGTATACAAAAGGCTTACTTCCATGGACATAAATATTCTCAGTTAAGTTGATCTCTCCATGAACAGAAGGCAGAGAAACCCCGGAGAGAAGTAAATACGTCACATACAGAGGAAAAGGAGGACTACTAACAGGTTGTATGTTTTAATATGAAATTGTGAGCTTTCTCTCTCGACATATATTTTAAGCTGAATTCATTGTGTCTCATTCATTTGTAACTCTATTTGTATAGTTTTATATATATATAAAACTATACAAATGGAGTTACAAATGAATGAGACACAATGAATTCAACTTAATGAGTTACAAATGAATGAGACACAAAATAATAAACATATATATATGTTTATTAAATTCCTTTTATTATTAGTTAATATAATGTCACCTCGATCTCTGAATCAGACCCCTCACGCGTGTTAATCCGCGTGTAAAATAAATGATTAACTGGTGTCCAGGAATCCTGACATAGATCTGGACTTCGCCGTCTAGATCGGTTTCACGTATTTACCATCCTCCTATAAAAATAGAACTGTTAGATAGAACTGTTTTTTAATCCTGAAGAGGGCCTCTAAAAGATGGCCGAAAACGTTAGATTATTAAAATCTTTTGACTGCTGGAAGTAGTATTGAGGTGTTAATTGTTGTTTCTCCTATAAAAAAGTTACGAGAGCCGATCTCACGATCGAGTGCCCGTAAGCGGCGTGAACTTATTCTACGTCCTTGGCTTCTCACAGAAAACATAACAAATTTATAGTACAAGTACTGTGAAAAGGATGATGAAACATGTGGAGTATCTTAAGGTATTATAAAATGTCTTTTTATGTCTTGTAAACATTTTCTACTCGAGTTGTTTTTGTGTAAATTCAATATGAATTTTGTTTTGTAGCACTGAAGAGGGGCTAGAAAATCAAACTTGCCCGAAATGCATATGTAAACAATAAAGGAGTTTTATAACCTGTAAAGCTGTGAGAAAGTCTACCGAAAATTTGTTCGGATTGAAGAGACATTTACCTATTAGATATATATATATATAAATGGACGTGTGTGTCCCTATATTTCACTTATATATATATAGATAGATAGATAAAGATGCTTGTTAATTAAGCAAAGAGTTCTATACCGATCAACGTATCCGCAGCAAACTTGGCATGAATATTCTTCGAAACCCTGGAAAAAAACCTCCAGCAATAGGTTGCTTAGCTTTCCTGGCAAAACTTAAAACCGTGTGTATGGTACCATATTTTATAAAACCAAATTTTATATTTTTAATTATTATAAAATGTCAAAAGGCTTAATTTTGAATGTAGGGATGGGTTTTATAAAAAATTGCAAATATCTCGAGTAAGTCCGACCTACTCGAGATATGACGACCCTCTTTATCTCCCCACCCATTCGACCTTTACCAAAATCTAACAGCATGAAACCCCCTAATACACAAATCTCCCTCCAAAATTTCAAAACTTTTCGACAAAAACCACAAAGAGGGTGAACAAAATCATGCCCCTTCCACACACACTAACATCCATACATTCAGAAAAATCCCGAATTATTTGAATTTCTCGACGTTTCAAGGTTCTCTGAGTCCAAAATGTAAAAATCTTGGGGGGTCATTCTTTGACCGATCGCCAAACTTTCCCTCTGTTACAGTATATATAACCTAACAGAGCCGGGAAAATAATACTGTGGGTTCCGATCACCAACCACCCATAAATCCTACCCCCTCTTAACTTTAGTCTGAACAATGTTATTGTGTATTGCAGTTTCATTATTGTAAATACTTGGGTCAGTAAATGTACTGTACGTTACATTTTAGTCACCAAGGCCATTGTTTTTATTATATTAGCTAATAAATGTAATAAATAGTTAAATCTGTGATGCCTGATTGGATGTTGTGAAACCAATCGTTAACAGTTTCTTAATAATTTGAAAATTAATGTACTGTCAAACATCGATACAGCGCCATCATTTGTTCTCATCCGAAATCGATAATAAATCGAGTGTGGCGCTAAACCAGAGAATCTTAACAATACAAATTAAGTTATATAAAGTAATGAGATCTGCAAGCAAATTTGAGATATCGTGGCAAGAGTTTCCTTTGTAATGCAAAAGCTTATATTTGGTGATTCAGAGATAGAGACGGATATTTAATAGTTATGAGAAAGATCTGTTCATTAGCGCTGTAACGGGATAGAGCTATGTCGAGGTTTTACTGTAATAAATCTAATAATAACTTTAAAATATTTCCCTCTCATTTTCTAATCCAATATCTATTAATTCATAAACTTTATTACCAAAAATTTGTAATTATTGGGCAGATAATTGCTCTTTATTTTATCATTAAAGATGCTTTGTTTACACATTTAAAATGTGTTTTATTTCATTATAATTATGAAAATTATTCGTTGAAATTGTTATTAGTTTAATTATTCACTCAGCTTTATCACAATCAATCGATCATTTTAATTTTGCAAAGCAATTTAACAGAATTATTAAACTTTAAGAGTTATTTTCTAGTCTTAGTAGGAGGCAATTTCAATACCAACGATTTGAATTGCAAGTTAAAGTAGTGAAGGATCATCCTCGTAATTAGTGTTTAAATGGACTTCTTAATGTCGGCTTCATTTGCATATATTTTCGATTACTGTCGCGTGAAAATTAAAAAGTGTGTGAATGTCATTTTTTTTCTTTTTAACGAGAAGCAAATTAATGTGAATGTTCGTAGACTAATTATAAAATGGCGGCATTACAGGTATTTGAAAATTAGGTTAAACAAAAGATGTTTCGAGGTACATTTATCTTGTCCAGAAATGCAAAAATATTTGGGAATTTCTTTTCTACGTATGGATGCGTGTCTGTGTATATTGGGGAGATTTGGTAGGGATATTTGTATATTAGAGGGATTGAAGCCATGAAATTTTGGTGTGTAGAGATCAAGCTAGTGTGAAGCTAGAGGGAGGCACGTGTTTTATCTCAAGTAGAGTTGGACATACTGTAATGATTTTACTCGTTATTATCATTTACAATTTTTTTATAAAATTCATCCCTATCCTCAAAATGAAGCTTTCTGCCATTTTATAATTAATAATATAAAAATTTTAAAAATAAAATATCATAACAACAGATGGTGCCACCACGATTATAAATTTTTTGCCGCTAGGTTACGAAACTCGTTGCTGAATTTTTACGGTTACAAACGAATTAATTGTACAATACATTTTATAATATTTTAATTAATATTGATGTCTGATTTATTTAAAACTTTTTAAGTTTGATATACTGTAATTTAATTGGTTTAATAAATACAGTACTTAAATCTACGTTTTTAGAAATACAGGGTTGCAATTTTCCAGAATGATTGTAGATAAACTGTAGGAATTCTTAAAATTTTGGATCTATATAAACTCTTTACAATTTTCAGGAATATTAATTGTTTTTTCCTGATTTTTTAACTTTATTTATAGTTTTAAAAGTAATTTAAGTGAAAATTAAATTATGACTTTATAGACAAATTTATATGATTACTTAAATATATATGCCAAATGGGTGTATCTCTCGAGAGGATTTTCATTGAGGAAACTGGTCTCTAGTTTTAGACACGTGAAGAAAATACAGAAAACTTTACGTAGCCAACCCGTTGTGAGGCGCGAACCCACGACCAACTTAGTGTTCGGTGACAGGTAAAAAATATTTCAATTGGATTGCTAAATTGAAACTGTGAGCTTTCTAGTGACGAGTCTATTAAAAAATTTTTTTCATATTTTTAATGTTTCCGAAATAATAAAACTGAAGGAGGATTCTGTATGATATTTGTAGTTTATTCTAGAAGGATACTTTAAATGTTTTTCTCGATTTTCAATACAAAATTTCTGAATACTGTACTTAAAGTCAATAAGCACCAACACATCTCTCAACTAGAACTTTGCTACTAAAAAACTGTTTTGTTAATAATTAAATTAATTATAATCATTTAATGAAAATGTTACACATTTTATATTTGAAAAAATTCAACGAGTTACCTAACTTTTCCGGCAAAATTTAAAGTTTTTGTGACGCCATCTGATGTCATATTTATTAAAAACTTTTTATATTTTTAATTATTATAAAATGACAAAAAACTTAATTTTGAGGGTGGAGATGAATGTTATAAAAAATTGTAAATGCTAATAACGAGTAAAATCTTCGTCAAGTCCGACCTTACTTGAGATATGAGACAACTTTCTCTCTCCACCTAATACACAAACCTCCATGAAAAATTTCAGAAATTTTTGACAAAGAGGACAGGAGTTATTAAGCTTCAAAAGGGGTGAACAAAATCGTGCCCCCTCCCACATACACACATACGTACAGAAAAACTCCCAAAATTTTTTGCATTTCTCGACGTTCAAGATGTCATAGGTTCAAAAATGTAAAAATCTTAAAAGGTATTGTACAATCTTTGTATCCCAATTTTTGCAGCAAAACGAGGAGACTACATTATATACTGATTTCTATTATACATTTGCTTTCCGAAATACTGTAGAATGAAGTTCAATAATTGATATTGTTATAATTAATCTTTATAGACTACATTTAATCAAAATATAATAAACTTGCATAATTAAAAATATATATTTTTTTAAAACTAGCAAAATTTTGAGAAAATGGGGTCTAAACCTTGTTAACTCGAAACTGTTTAACTCGAAGTCGAAATTTTTTTACCCTTTAAACTTCGACTTAACGAAGTTTTATTGTAAACATTTTTTACATACGAATAATTAGGTATATAGCAAATGTAAGAAGGTAAAATGTAATATCAAAAAATGATCCTTCCGCTAATCTATAACGAATAATTTTTCAGATCTAACTACGTTTCCGAACAGCCAGTTGTGTATTTGGTATTTCATTCTGATTACTCCGTGACTGGAAGTGGTTTCGTCTTAAGATGGGAATCTGTAATCGGAGACAGCTGTGGAGAATTACATAAAACGTCATCTTACATCGTTTTACCAAGCGCTTCACGGCGATATCTTCCAGGATTAGACTGCTTCTTTAATCTATCTTCGTCTTCTAGAATACTCATCACCCTCACCCATTTCCATGTTGGTAGCCAAGATGGTCAGGATATTTGCTCTAACGATTATTTAAAGATCAGTCTAGACCAATCCCGAACGATTATTTTGTGTGGAAATTCTACATCTGTTCCGATGGGTCTCACATTCCTTTCTTATAGAGAGGTGCTCGACTTTCACTTCCACACAAATTCGGGTACGACACTTGGCAATACGGGATTCAACATTACGTGGAGAATCTGTAAGTTGTAAATTTTATGTATTTTTTTTAAATTAAATTATGTTGAATTTTTTTTCGATTTTTAGGGAACCATTCCAAGGTGGAAAGTTACGCAAGGCACGAGAAAATAACTTCAAATATGGGAGATTTGTATAGCTTGAATTTTCCACTTGATCCTCCCATGGATGTTGACTTCATTCAGAATCTTATAGTGCCTCTAGGTTACCGAATAAATTCGGTATATTTACATCATGATTTGCAAACTAGAGGATGCGAAGGAAAAATAGTCATCGAAGATCCTTACGGAGAAACTTTCAATATAATATGTCCCTCTAGTAAACTTTACCGAAATATATCGTCGACTTTGAATATTCTTCGATTTTTCTCGACCACGTCATTCTTAAAGCAACCTATTAAGTATCATATCAGTTATAACATAACTACAGGTGAGATCGTTTAAATTGCAACAGAACATACACTATATCTTACAAAAACTCCACCAGTTAATTCATTAGAAAAATAATAAGTGAGTGGAATATTGCACCATCCAGGATCTCAAATGAAATCTGGATGAGTGCCACCTCCCTCCAGAAGCCATGAAAATATATAAGTAAAATAAATACAAATAAAAATTAAAATTTTCAATGCAATATAAAAATATTAAAAGAAAATTTAATTTATAACACAAAAATCAAAATTTTGGGTGCCCTTTTGTGTCCGGTCCGGATCAAGTGACCTTGTTGGCCCTTTGTATCTGGGTAATATTTCTTTTAAGTTTCTGAAATATTGTATTTAAAGAATTGAAAATATACACTGTAATTAATAAATTAATTAAACAGCATATTAGGTTCAATCTTGTGAACGTGGGATGTTTAATTTAGTATAAATCTATTTCCATTAGATTTATATCAAACCCATCAGATCAAACTAATTCCATTATCGTCATTAACCTTTTATTAAGAATTAATGAATGAATTGTAGTATTGGAGTTTTTATAAGATAACCTGTTAATATTTCATAAATTAAATATATTTTGAAATGATTTTTAAATTTAAAAAAGAGTCAATGTAGAATACCCTATTACGTCAATTTTGCATCATTTTGCACTTCCCATTACAACAAGTGACGTAAAAACTTACATTATTACAGAGAAACGAGTACGTCTTAACTCATTAACGAATCGTCTTTGAAACAAGTTCATCCGTCAATAATATGCGTTAAATTTTTATGTTTGATATAGTCACAATATCGCGGAGGACGACATATGTTTAATAAATATATAAATTCGTTTTAAGCTTATTCTACATTAAACTAACAGGGCCCATATTTTTATTTTCTTGAATATGAAACTCTTATATTAAAAAAAATTAACGTTTTTAGCAATAAAATATTTATTTAATCTATTGTTTACAGTAAAGCAACAGGCTTTTCTTTTACCATTTTACAATGGATAAAAAATGATCTTTTGATGAATGAGAAGAATTCGTTTGTAGAAAATATAACAATAAAGATTAAGAGAATTTTTTTCTCTTAGACGAGAATGATATTCAAAGGAATTGATGCGTTAAATTTCTCAATGTCATATCCTTTTAAAAATATTCTGAATACTTTGGTGTCAAACAATGATTATTCTCTTTGAATGCGAAGCTTTTCACGCATTATAAAGCCGATACAAAGGTGCTAATTAATCAAAAAAGAAGTTGTAGACTCGTGTTGTTACTAACAATAATGGGATTTTCAACAATTTTATTAAAGGACAAGAATTGCTTACAGTTCAAGTTTCGGTTTTGAAGGTATTATTATGTTTAAGGGAATAAAATATAAATTTAGGATATTATTGAAGAATCAATTCATATAAATTTGCTTTTCTTGATGATACAAAATTACTTTTGACACTTCTTGGGTGTTTTTCTTTAAAAATATATACAGGTATCCCTTGATTAACGCGGTTAATTAATCCCTCGATCCTACTGCTTCTTTCAAAAACGCGTTAATCAAAATAAGTTATGTAAGTTAAGACAGCTGGTAAAGCCGCGTATATATAGGGATACCTGTATACAGTAAAACCTGTTTAAAACGGAAACCTACCAAACTGGAAAAAATATTCGTACCGTGCTATTCCGGCTTACACAGTTCTAAATCTGTATGCCAGATTTAGAACTTGTTTTCTTTAATAATTTATTAATAGGTCTATAAGACCCTNGTTTATAGCATAGTTTATATGGATTAGTCCCAAAAAATTATCCGTATTTTGGAAATGTTGAGTCAAATTAGTCTAGAATCGATTAATTTTATGGAAGAAACCTTTCAAATAGCCGTATTCCGTAAACTGCATACGTGACGGGCTGTGATTGGCTGGACTCGTAGAAAATGGATTCATAAAAACCGGAACGTATCTACTGTGTTATAGGGGGGTCGACTGTATATAACAAAGGATATTAGTATTTAATGGTAATGAGGAAGATTCATTTACACTATACGACGATGGCGCAATATAGAGTGCGATCTATCGAGGTTCGACTGTAATAAGAATTATGTTGTGTATACAGTGGTATATGAGTTCTAAACACAATTTTGGGAGTTTGAAAATTACTTGAATTGAACGTTTCCAATAAAAAAAATTCACATATTTAATAATTTACGGATACTAAAATATTCTCTGTTTGTATACAGCATTTTTGGGAAGATTCGCAAGTATTAATTGGCCCTGTATGAGGATAGTGCTATTTAGGGAGCGCTACAGCAACGTTTATATATGTACGTATATAAAATATGAATTTATTATATTATACATACGTATACAGCATTTTAAAATGAAAATATCAAGAAATAGTATTAATGTAGGATTTGTTAATCCTAAGCTATATGCTTGTTGACGATTTTATTGTAGAATTTTCTACAATAAAATGATAACGTTAGATAATAGAAAGAAAATAAAGATCTAATTAAAATTCTGTTAAGAATTAACATGAAGTTAGATAAGGGAATTGTCAACACAATAAAAGATCTTACATTTCGTGTTAAACACTGCATTAAATAAAAGAAATGCATGCCGTTAAATTGAGAAACGATTATTCAGAATTGAACTTTATCATTTGAATTTGGAATATGTTTTAGATTTTTAAGATAATTTATATATATATGTTACCGCTAAAGCTCGAAATCCGTTAATGTGCACATTATCTAGCTAATCTGCACATTAACTAGGGTGATCCGTTAAAGTTGCTAAAATTGTATTTCTCAAATTACCTAGGTAATGTGTACAGTATTTAGGTAATCTGCACATTACCTACTAGGCACTCGGTAAAGTGAAAATAAGATTTTTGCTGGAACAACAGCAACGTTTATATATATAAAAGTATATAATAACTTTTACAGAAAAACAGATGGCGTTAGCATGGGGTCAAAGATGGGTCCAAAACTTGCAGAATTAGTAATGAAAGATATTGAAAATAAAATCATGAACATTCCTGGGGTGAAAACTGTAATGAGATTCGTGGATGATTACTTATTAATTTTTAATAATCAGATAACAAATGAGAAAATAATTTTAAACACAATAAATAGCATAAACCAGGATATAAAATTTGATCTAGAATTAGAAAAACACAATAAAATTCATTTTTTGGACATAACTATAACAAAAGAAAAAGAAAAATATTCATTTGAAACTTATAAAAAACCATCCAATGTAAACAAAACAATCAGTTATTATTCATATATCCCAGAAAGTATAAAAAAGAATACATATATAATGGAATTAAAAAAGATATATACTAGAACTACCAGTAAAAAGAAACGCAAAACTGAATTAAACGAATTAGATTATAAATTCATTCTTAATAGTTATCCAAAATACCTTTTAAAAAATGGCATACACAATACTACAATAATAGATTTAATGTAAAAAATAAAAAAGATAAAAATTACAAATTCTTCCCTTACATAGCTAATTTATGATAATTGCTCTAAATTCCTTAAAAAAGACAATATAGTTTTGGCCCCATCTCTGAACAATAAAATCTCAAATAAAATTTATAAAGATACATTAGGAAAATACAAAACCAATACTGATAAATTGAAAAAAACTGGAACTGTTTACAAAGTTAATTGTGACTGTCAGAATCATGGGGAATACATGGGTGAAACGGGTCGAACATTGGAATTACGGATAAAAGAACATGAAGCTGCCATACGATTAAAACATGATAATTCACCTTGGTATAACCACATCAAAAATAGTAACTGCAAAATAGATAGGAATAATATTAAAATCCTACACTATGAGAAAAATATATATAAACGTAAATTCAAAGAACATATAGAAATAATGAAATACAATGGTAATAATTTAATAAACATTTCCAATGGCATGCAAATCGACCAGCAATGGTATAACATGATAGGGGGCGCAACAAGTCAATAGTTTATATTTCTAAGATTATACATTGTCGTGAAAATTTTATTGTATGTTGAACCTTTTTAAAGTTTATACAACGTATACTACTCTGTTATTGTTGTGACACTTTTAAAGAAAAACATGTATGTATTTTTTTTAGTAAATATTTTTTTAAAGGAAAAAATTTGTTATAAATAAGTGATTTAAAATGTTACTAATAATTATAATTTGTAATTAGTTGTGTAGCATAATGGTACGGATTTCGATGTAAAACACCCTTAAGAGAAAATTATAAATTTGAAAACATTGTAAATTGATAGTACAAGTACTGTAAAAAAGATGAAAGAACATGTGGGAAATCTTAAGGTATTATAAAGTGTCTTTTTATGTCTTGTAAACATTTTCTACTATAAAGTTGTTTTGTGTAAATTCAATATGAATTTGTTTTGTAGCACTGAAGAGGGGCAGGAAAATTAAACTTGCCCGAAATGCATATGTGAAAAACAATAAAGGAGATTTTTAACCTGTNGCTCCTAAAAGCCAACGCCCTATGCTATGAGCAAATACAGTATACAAAAGGCTTACTTCCATGGACATAAATATTCTCAGTTAAGTTGATCTCTCCATGAACAGAAGGCAGAGAAACCCCGGAGAGAAGTAAATACGTCACATACAGAGGAAAAGGAGGACTACTAACAGGTTGTATGTTTTAATATGAAATTGTGAGCTTTCTCTCTCGACATATATTTTAAGCTGAATTCATTGTGTCTCATTCATTTGTAACTCTATTTGTATAGTTTTATATATATATAAAACTATACAAATGGAGTTACAAATGAATGAGACACAATGAATTCAACTTAATGAGTTACAAATGAATGAGACACAAAATAATAAACATATATATATGTTTATTAAATTCCTTTTATTATTAGTTAATATAATGTCACCTCGATCTCTGAATCAGACCCCTCACGCGTGTTAATCCGCGTGTAAAATAAATGATTAACTGGTGTCCAGGAATCCTGACATAGATCTGGACTTCGCCGTCTAGATCGGTTTCACGTATTTACCATCCTCCTATAAAAATAGAACTGTTAGATAGAACTGTTTTTTAATCCTGAAGAGGGCCTCTAAAAGATGGCCGAAAACGTTAGATTATTAAAATCTTTTGACTGCTGGAAGTAGTATTGAGGTGTTAATTGTTGTTTCTCCTATAAAAAAGTTACGAGAGCCGATCTCACGATCGAGTGCCCGTAAGCGGCGTGAACTTATTCTACGTCCTTGGCTTCTCACAGAAAACATAACAAATTTATAGTACAAGTACTGTGAAAAGGATGATGAAACATGTGGAGTATCTTAAGGTATTATAAAATGTCTTTTTATGTCTTGTAAACATTTTCTACTCGAGTTGTTTTTGTGTAAATTCAATATGAATTTTGTTTTGTAGCACTGAAGAGGGGCTAGAAAATCAAACTTGCCCGAAATGCATATGTAAACAATAAAGGAGTTTTATAACCTGTAAAGCTGTGAGAAAGTCTACCGAAAATTTGTTCGGATTGAAGAGACATTTACCTATTAGATATATATATATATAAATGGACGTGTGTGTCCCTATATTTCACTTATATATATATAGATAGATAGATAAAGATGCTTGTTAATTAAGCAAAGAGTTCTATACCGATCAACGTATCCGCAGCAAACTTGGCATGAATATTCTTCGAAACCCTGGAAAAAAACCTCCAGCAATAGGTTGCTTAGCTTTCCTGGCAAAACTTAAAACCGTGTGTATGGTACCATATTTTATAAAACCAAATTTTATATTTTTAATTATTATAAAATGTCAAAAGGCTTAATTTTGAATGTAGGGATGGGTTTTATAAAAAATTGCAAATATCTCGAGTAAGTCCGACCTACTCGAGATATGACGACCCTCTTTATCTCCCCACCCATTCGACCTTTACCAAAATCTAACAGCATGAAACCCCCTAATACACAAATCTCCCTCCAAAATTTCAAAACTTTTCGACAAAAACCACAAAGAGGGTGAACAAAATCATGCCCCTTCCACACACACTAACATCCATACATTCAGAAAAATCCCGAATTATTTGAATTTCTCGACGTTTCAAGGTTCTCTGAGTCCAAAATGTAAAAATCTTGGGGGGTCATTCTTTGACCGATCGCCAAACTTTCCCTCTGTTACAGTATATATAACCTAACAGAGCCGGGAAAATAATACTGTGGGTTCCGATCACCAACCACCCATAAATCCTACCCCCTCTTAACTTTAGTCTGAACAATGTTATTGTGTATTGCAGTTTCATTATTGTAAATACTTGGGTCAGTAAATGTACTGTACGTTACATTTTAGTCACCAAGGCCATTGTTTTTATTATATTAGCTAATAAATGTAATAAATAGTTAAATCTGTGATGCCTGATTGGATGTTGTGAAACCAATCGTTAACAGTTTCTTAATAATTTGAAAATTAATGTACTGTCAAACATCGATACAGCGCCATCATTTGTTCTCATCCGAAATCGATAATAAATCGAGTGTGGCGCTAAACCAGAGAATCTTAACAATACAAATTAAGTTATATAAAGTAATGAGATCTGCAAGCAAATTTGAGATATCGTGGCAAGAGTTTCCTTTGTAATGCAAAAGCTTATATTTGGTGATTCAGAGATAGAGACGGATATTTAATAGTTATGAGAAAGATCTGTTCATTAGCGCTGTAACGGGATAGAGCTATGTCGAGGTTTTACTGTAATAAATCTAATAATAACTTTAAAATATTTCCCTCTCATTTTCTAATCCAATATCTATTAATTCATAAACTTTATTACCAAAAATTTGTAATTATTGGGCAGATAATTGCTCTTTATTTTATCATTAAAGATGCTTTGTTTACACATTTAAAATGTGTTTTATTTCATTATAATTATGAAAATTATTCGTTGAAATTGTTATTAGTTTAATTATTCACTCAGCTTTATCACAATCAATCGATCATTTTAATTTTGCAAAGCAATTTAACAGAATTATTAAACTTTAAGAGTTATTTTCTAGTCTTAGTAGGAGGCAATTTCAATACCAACGATTTGAATTGCAAGTTAAAGTAGTGAAGGATCATCCTCGTAATTAGTGTTTAAATGGACTTCTTAATGTCGGCTTCATTTGCATATATTTTCGATTACTGTCGCGTGAAAATTAAAAAGTGTGTGAATGTCATTTTTTTTCTTTTTAACGAGAAGCAAATTAATGTGAATGTTCGTAGACTAATTATAAAATGGCGGCATTACAGGTATTTGAAAATTAGGTTAAACAAAAGATGTTTCGAGGTACATTTATCTTGTCCAGAAATGCAAAAATATTTGGGAATTTCTTTTCTACGTATGGATGCGTGTCTGTGTATATTGGGGAGATTTGGTAGGGATATTTGTATATTAGAGGGATTGAAGCCATGAAATTTTGGTGTGTAGAGATCAAGCTAGTGTGAAGCTAGAGGGAGGCACGTGTTTTATCTCAAGTAGAGTTGGACATACTGTAATGATTTTACTCGTTATTATCATTTACAATTTTTTTATAAAATTCATCCCTATCCTCAAAATGAAGCTTTCTGCCATTTTATAATTAATAATATAAAAATTTTAAAAATAAAATATCATAACAACAGATGGTGCCACCACGATTATAAATTTTTTGCCGCTAGGTTACGAAACTCGTTGCTGAATTTTTACGGTTACAAACGAATTAATTGTACAATACATTTTATAATATTTTAATTAATATTGATGTCTGATTTATTTAAAACTTTTTAAGTTTGATATACTGTAATTTAATTGGTTTAATAAATACAGTACTTAAATCTACGTTTTTAGAAATACAGGGTTGCAATTTTCCAGAATGATTGTAGATAAACTGTAGGAATTCTTAAAATTTTGGATCTATATAAACTCTTTACAATTTTCAGGAATATTAATTGTTTTTTCCTGATTTTTTAACTTTATTTATAGTTTTAAAAGTAATTTAAGTGAAAATTAAATTATGACTTTATAGACAAATTTATATGATTACTTAAATATATATGCCAAATGGGTGTATCTCTCGAGAGGATTTTCATTGAGGAAACTGGTCTCTAGTTTTAGACACGTGAAGAAAATACAGAAAACTTTACGTAGCCAACCCGTTGTGAGGCGCGAACCCACGACCAACTTAGTGTTCGGTGACAGGTAAAAAATATTTCAATTGGATTGCTAAATTGAAACTGTGAGCTTTCTAGTGACGAGTCTATTAAAAAATTTTTTTCATATTTTTAATGTTTCCGAAATAATAAAACTGAAGGAGGATTCTGTATGATATTTGTAGTTTATTCTAGAAGGATACTTTAAATGTTTTTCTCGATTTTCAATACAAAATTTCTGAATACTGTACTTAAAGTCAATAAGCACCAACACATCTCTCAACTAGAACTTTGCTACTAAAAAACTGTTTTGTTAATAATTAAATTAATTATAATCATTTAATGAAAATGTTACACATTTTATATTTGAAAAAATTCAACGAGTTACCTAACTTTTCCGGCAAAATTTAAAGTTTTTGTGACGCCATCTGATGTCATATTTATTAAAAACTTTTTATATTTTTAATTATTATAAAATGACAAAAAACTTAATTTTGAGGGTGGAGATGAATGTTATAAAAAATTGTAAATGCTAATAACGAGTAAAATCTTCGTCAAGTCCGACCTTACTTGAGATATGAGACAACTTTCTCTCTCCACCTAATACACAAACCTCCATGAAAAATTTCAGAAATTTTTGACAAAGAGGACAGGAGTTATTAAGCTTCAAAAGGGGTGAACAAAATCGTGCCCCCTCCCACATACACACATACGTACAGAAAAACTCCCAAAATTTTTTGCATTTCTCGACGTTCAAGATGTCATAGGTTCAAAAATGTAAAAATCTTAAAAGGTATTGTACAATCTTTGTATCCCAATTTTTGCAGCAAAACGAGGAGACTACATTATATACTGATTTCTATTATACATTTGCTTTCCGAAATACTGTAGAATGAAGTTCAATAATTGATATTGTTATAATTAATCTTTATAGACTACATTTAATCAAAATATAATAAACTTGCATAATTAAAAATATATATTTTTTTAAAACTAGCAAAATTTTGAGAAAATGGGGTCTAAACCTTGTTAACTCGAAACTGTTTAACTCGAAGTCGAAATTTTTTTACCCTTTAAACTTCGACTTAACGAAGTTTTATTGTAAACATTTTTTACATACGAATAATTAGGTATATAGCAAATGTAAGAAGGTAAAATGTAATATCAAAAAATGATCCTTCCGCTAATCTATAACGAATAATTTTTCAGATCTAACTACGTTTCCGAACAGCCAGTTGTGTATTTGGTATTTCATTCTGATTACTCCGTGACTGGAAGTGGTTTCGTCTTAAGATGGGAATCTGTAATCGGAGACAGCTGTGGAGAATTACATAAAACGTCATCTTACATCGTTTTACCAAGCGCTTCACGGCGATATCTTCCAGGATTAGACTGCTTCTTTAATCTATCTTCGTCTTCTAGAATACTCATCACCCTCACCCATTTCCATGTTGGTAGCCAAGATGGTCAGGATATTTGCTCTAACGATTATTTAAAGATCAGTCTAGACCAATCCCGAACGATTATTTTGTGTGGAAATTCTACATCTGTTCCGATGGGTCTCACATTCCTTTCTTATAGAGAGGTGCTCGACTTTCACTTCCACACAAATTCGGGTACGACACTTGGCAATACGGGATTCAACATTACGTGGAGAATCTGTAAGTTGTAAATTTTATGTATTTTTTTTAAATTAAATTATGTTGAATTTTTTTTCGATTTTTAGGGAACCATTCCAAGGTGGAAAGTTACGCAAGGCACGAGAAAATAACTTCAAATATGGGAGATTTGTATAGCTTGAATTTTCCACTTGATCCTCCCATGGATGTTGACTTCATTCAGAATCTTATAGTGCCTCTAGGTTACCGAATAAATTCGGTATATTTACATCATGATTTGCAAACTAGAGGATGCGAAGGAAAAATAGTCATCGAAGATCCTTACGGAGAAACTTTCAATATAATATGTCCCTCTAGTAAACTTTACCGAAATATATCGTCGACTTTGAATATTCTTCGATTTTTCTCGACCACGTCATTCTTAAAGCAACCTATTAAGTATCATATCAGTTATAACATAACTACAGGTGAGATCGTTTAAATTGCAACAGAACATACACTATATCTTACAAAAACTCCACCAGTTAATTCATTAGAAAAATAATAAGTGAGTGGAATATTGCACCATCCAGGATCTCAAATGAAATCTGGATGAGTGCCACCTCCCTCCAGAAGCCATGAAAATATATAAGTAAAATAAATACAAATAAAAATTAAAATTTTCAATGCAATATAAAAATATTAAAAGAAAATTTAATTTATAACACAAAAATCAAAATTTTGGGTGCCCTTTTGTGTCCGGTCCGGATCAAGTGACCTTGTTGGCCCTTTGTATCTGGGTAATATTTCTTTTAAGTTTCTGAAATATTGTATTTAAAGAATTGAAAATATACACTGTAATTAATAAATTAATTAAACAGCATATTAGGTTCAATCTTGTGAACGTGGGATGTTTAATTTAGTATAAATCTATTTCCATTAGATTTATATCAAACCCATCAGATCAAACTAATTCCATTATCGTCATTAACCTTTTATTAAGAATTAATGAATGAATTGTAGTATTGGAGTTTTTATAAGATAACCTGTTAATATTTCATAAATTAAATATATTTTGAAATGATTTTTAAATTTAAAAAAGAGTCAATGTAGAATACCCTATTACGTCAATTTTGCATCATTTTGCACTTCCCATTACAACAAGTGACGTAAAAACTTACATTATTACAGAGAAACGAGTACGTCTTAACTCATTAACGAATCGTCTTTGAAACAAGTTCATCCGTCAATAATATGCGTTAAATTTTTATGTTTGATATAGTCACAATATCGCGGAGGACGACATATGTTTAATAAATATATAAATTCGTTTTAAGCTTATTCTACATTAAACTAACAGGGCCCATATTTTTATTTTCTTGAATATGAAACTCTTATATTAAAAAAAATTAACGTTTTTAGCAATAAAATATTTATTTAATCTATTGTTTACAGTAAAGCAACAGGCTTTTCTTTTACCATTTTACAATGGATAAAAAATGATCTTTTGATGAATGAGAAGAATTCGTTTGTAGAAAATATAACAATAAAGATTAAGAGAATTTTTTTCTCTTAGACGAGAATGATATTCAAAGGAATTGATGCGTTAAATTTCTCAATGTCATATCCTTTTAAAAATATTCTGAATACTTTGGTGTCAAACAATGATTATTCTCTTTGAATGCGAAGCTTTTCACGCATTATAAAGCCGATACAAAGGTGCTAATTAATCAAAAAAGAAGTTGTAGACTCGTGTTGTTACTAACAATAATGGGATTTTCAACAATTTTATTAAAGGACAAGAATTGCTTACAGTTCAAGTTTCGGTTTTGAAGGTATTATTATGTTTAAGGGAATAAAATATAAATTTAGGATATTATTGAAGAATCAATTCATATAAATTTGCTTTTCTTGATGATACAAAATTACTTTTGACACTTCTTGGGTGTTTTTCTTTAAAAATATATACAGGTATCCCTTGATTAACGCGGTTAATTAATCCCTCGATCCTACTGCTTCTTTCAAAAACGCGTTAATCAAAATAAGTTATGTAAGTTAAGACAGCTGGTAAAGCCGCGTATATATAGGGATACCTGTATACAGTAAAACCTGTTTAAAACGGAAACCTACCAAACTGGAAAAAATATTCGTACCGTGCTATTCCGGCTTACACAGTTCTAAATCTGTATGCCAGATTTAGAACTTGTTTTCTTTAATAATTTATTAATAGGTCTATAAGACCCTATAAAACTTTATAAGTTGCTATAAATGTATTATTACTCTGTAAATCTATATAAAGTCGCTATATACAATAAATATCTTTGAAAGAAATAAAAATATTTGTTTAAGTTTGAAAATTCTTAAAATATATAATGTAAATCGAAAAAATTCGGGATAATAAAATTTTTAATAAAATATACACACAGTGTATAGAATAAACAATATACTTTTCAACATATTTTTTAAGCAAATTTTTAAATGAACTTTAAATTTTTGTCTTTTATCTTTCAAAATTTAAACCGTTTACGCATAAATTTATATACTGTATTTTAAAAAGCCAAATACCAGTTTGAAGGACTAAAACTCATATTTAAAAATTCAACTTGTTTACTAATATTACTAATATTTAATATATAAGATAAATATGTTATAGTTTCCCATTCATTTTTATATGGAACTATATTTTACATGCTTCCTTTATAATATACAGTATATATAATTATATAAGTTCACTGGATTAGATTAAAGAGAGTTTGGGGCTTTAAATTATCTTAATTTATCACCTCTAGAAATTACAATATTAATTTAATTTAAATTTATAAAATTAAATAATTTATTTTTAGAAAAAACAAAATTAGAAGCACTTTAATAAAACCAACATCCAAAATAAAATCATTAACTTTTTTCTTTATAATTTTGAATCGCTATAAGATATGAAACCCTACAGAATATTTACAAATCATACATTTAAATATAGTGGAACTTGTGTAATCCGGACCGAATATTTTTCCCGGTTTAGCAGGTTTCCGTTTTGAACAGGTTCTTTCTTAATTTCTTAACATAGAAAATCGCTCCGTTCTGAAGAATTTTATCGGTTCATGCAGGTTTCCTTTTTATTCAGGTTCCGCTTTGGACAGGTTTTACTGCATTTACACACACGCTTCATTGTGAGAAATTCGAGTTTAAACTTTTGAAAAGCGAGAGCTTATTGCATTATTGTTATGAAATTTCAAATAACTTTTCTCAACTCAGTAGATTCACTTCGAGAACGGAGGGGACTTTCTAGTGCATTATAAAAACAAAGTGAGAAACGTAATTTATTATATATTAATGCAAAAAGTATTACAGAATGTGCTAAGATATTGCATCAACAGATATATTTTTAAACTTTTAGACGAAATTTAATTTGCATAAGACAAAACAGCATGCATCGAAACCCATTTCTGTTTCTTGTATCCATTGTATCCATGGTTTTCTTGGTTTTCTTCACACTTTTTATTGCGTCTCAAAATAATTGTTTATACTTAAAAACATATTGATATATATTTTATTTCTTCATAAATAACTCATTACATTTTTCTTTCAGGCCAGATGTGACGATCTCCGACCCCTCAAGCTATTGCTCTGAATGGTCAGAAATCGTCATATCCGTAGGATAGTCTGTCCCGGAAATTTCGGGTCCCGTCTTTCATCATCCGTCATTGTGGACCTGGCCTATTCTTTGAATTGGCCTTAAAAATGTGGAATGGAAGCGGCAAACAAGAATTTCTTCTTAACTGACAATACTGATTTTTAATTAAGGGAGCATTGCTTGATAAAACAGCTTTAATGTATCTGGGATAAACGAGCCAATGACAGTTCGTTTCAAATGAAGCGGCTTATGCCATTGGTTTGCTTATCCAGCTGTATTAAAGCCGCTTTACTAGGCTAATAGTCCTCTTACATTCCAGAAATTCAATTGATTTTCATTTAAAAAATCTAAATGTATGCATTATAAAACCTATCTTACGTTACATTTTATGTTACTACTGAAAATTTAGAATTAACAATATATGATTATAATTATATAATCTAATCCTGATGAAAGAAAATTATATAATAGCTAATAAATATATCATGTTGATTTATTTCAGATCCAGGATACATTCACAAAACTTTAAAAATTCACTCTGTTTACTCTTGCATGCCAAATCCTTGTCTTCATGGCGGTTCCTGTATCGAATCTAATAAGAGTCAATGCAATTGTACTGGAAGTTACACTGGTAAGATGATTGGAAATCATATTTCTAAAATCATGATACTAAAATTGATTTTATATGATTTTTTTTACAAAAAACAGGTGTTTTTTGCCATCTTCAATGGTGTCAAACTCGACCCTGTGGAGAAAGAGGCGTATGCCAAACTGTACCCGACGGTTATAGATGCAGCTGTCCCCCAGAATATACAGGATCTAGCTGTGAAGAACCCATAACGCCTTGCAATGCAAACCCTTGTGGACCGCATGGTCAATGCAGCGTTTTCAACGACACTTTCAAGTGTCACTGTCAGTTATGGTATGAAGGTATGACGTCAAAATTTCTCACTTTTACGACGTCACAATTTTTCACTGTCACTATAAAATTCGTCTTGTTAAAGGTTCGCATTGTGAAAGATTTGTCTTTCGAATTACACAAAAGCCTTTGAGTCAGAGAATGCTTGAAGAACCTTTCTGGCTGGGCTTAATCACAGTTTTCGCCGTACTTCTAGTTATTCTTTGTGTTTATTGTATCAAAAGAAAGTTTGCTGAAAAAATTGAAAGACTTTTGGCAGAAGAAATTGAAAAAAGTAAATGCAGTGAGTATCCTGTAGCATTCTTCTTATGTACTAAAAATATTTTTAAGATATTATATAAAACATGTATGTTCTTTCCTTTCAATAAAATATGCACCGTAGGATTTAATTTCCTACAATAAACATGCCAGATGGATTTTTCTTTTTTAGTGTAAAAAAGACATCTGAGCATATCCACTGTAATAAAAATTAACTGATTTCTTATTTTTTTCAGATCCCTCACCTCCTGCTGCAAGATACAGTCTCAGCTCCAACCAACTTAGTCTAACTCCTGGAAGTCAAAGTCCTCAAACTTGTCCAAAATCTCTTTTCACTAAATTCAGAAAATATAGTATTCGCAGTACTACCAGTGGAATTAGTCCGACCGACAGAGAACACAGCAGAACTTTTAGTTTTGATGATATTCTTCGTAGATCTACAAAGAAAACATCCTCAGGACCCACAGATAATAATAAAAATGATGATGAGAAATCTCGAATTTTAGCATCTTTGGTGATGTCTCCTCAGACAAGGAGAATGAGTCTTGATGAATTTATACGAATGAGCGAGAGAAAAATTCAAGAAGCAAACAGAGAAGAGGAACAAAAAACTTGCAATTCACCCGAATCGGAGAGTATACAAGAAACTAGCTTTTCGGCTAGATTATCTCCTCGTTTTGCTAGACATTCGGCTCCTTCGTTTACAGAATTTCATTCCATAAGAGAGCAGTCGGTAGAATATGCGTCTTCGACGGAAAGTGAAGAAGATCCGAAAACGAGTCAAGTTCAAGCTGACATTACTCCACCACCACAAACAACTCAAGAAGACAAAGAAGTATCGGATAAAAAGAAAGCGCCAGATCCGTCCGCCATTCAGAAAACTGGATTTTTAGAAGTTCCTACTATTCTCCTTCCTACACCCACAACACCAGACAATCCGGAGAAAGAAAGAACTTCGGAGAATCCACAAAGTCCAGTTCGGAAAAAGCCAGAATTTCTGGTTGGCCGAAAATATTCCGTAGATCTTCCCATGCCAAAAATTCTAGTAACTTCCAATACCAGTTCAATTGAGTCCGACCCAAACAGCCCTCCTAGAACTCCAAATCCTGCAAAGTCGATGGCATATCTTACACCCCTTACGGCAGACAGAACGATTTCGGAATCCAATCTTAGTACTTCGGGTTACTCGTCTCTATCCAGCCCTGGATTAAGTAGATGCAATTCAAGTAGCCCTATATCCGATGATCTAGAGAATCAAAATGCAAATACCAAAAAAGTCTCACCTCCTCATAAATGGCACAATCATCCAAAGTGCCATCAGACGCAACAGATCGTGGCTACGTTAACAGAGGGTGAGCAGCCGCAATATAAAACGCGCACTTTTACCAACGCTTTGTGGCGTGCACCAAATCGCAAAACTTGTCATCACGATAGATGCATGAAAAGACATTCCTACCAGACCAGCACCGATGAATCCATAGACGATGAAGGTATCGGTATGGATCCTATCGATTTTAAAATTCGCAAGGGGGAAGTGAAAAGCGCTCGAGAATTAGAAGCGTACATAACTAAAAAGACCCCTTTAATGAATTTCACCTCGTCCGATACTTCTACATCTTCACCCACTACCAGAACCAGTCCCAATTTGAGAAAAGGTGATAAAGTTAAGAAAACTGGTACTAAAGGTAGAAAAAGTCCCGTTGCATCACCCACTTCTGTTTCTGCTTCGGAGACAACAGCAGAAGGCAACACAAATGTAGCGCATTCCTCCGACAGCGATCAAGAGTATCAAAGACCAAAAACTCAAACGAGAAGAACGAAAAAAGATGGAACTTCCAGTCCAAGGATTACGGAAGGAAGAAGAAGCGTATCTTCGGAGAAATTGGGGAGTAAGCAGACAAGAAACGGTGTCGCTAGATGCAATTCGTCGACGGCAATTCCTCAAATAATTACTGAAAATTTCGACTTTATCGTTGCCAAGGATAAGAAATCAAGTCCAAGGTAATTAAAATTTATAAATTAAGATAATTCTATTACAATTACTGAATATAATTTGTTTTTTAATCAGATCTTCTGCAGAAAAGATATTATCCGTCGATGATTCTATAGAAAGTTCTGTTCCAAGTGACACGGATGAAGAAAAAACGATGGAACCACTTCTCCCTTCAGAATCATTTCAGAGTAATCTCAGACGCCAAGAAGCACTAGTAGAAGAAAGTGACAGGTAATAATAATCGCTTTCAAATTTGCTAGTGTTAAAGATATTTTAAAAATATAATCAAACAAATTACTGAGAGGAAATGTTTAAAATGAAAATATGCACAAGCAACATACAGGATGTGCACAGTCCGTAAAAACTTTTGTCAGTATGAAATGAGGTTTGCGTGGTAAGTTGTTGGCAGGGAAAAAATTAATTTCAAAAATCATCGATGGTTGGCGTTGACATACGAGTACAAAAGACAACGAATAGACGTGCAAACGACAATGAAAATGGCTTTCGGTGTGATTTCTGATCGTGGGGTATTTAAATTCCCAAGTGTCTCGATCATACCATTCCACATTGTTGGAACTGAAAAATGCTATTCATCCATAGGGTACAGTACTGTACGTCCTACGTGCGACTGCCAGCAGAATCTTTGTACACGATTCCAATATACACCAATTACCTAGTTGCTCTAGGTGAGTGTTTCTCAACAGGGGCGATATCGCTCTCATGTGGGCGTTTTTCCATGTTGAGGGGCGATTAGTAACAATTTATACAGGTATACCTCTTCTTACGTCGGTAATTGGTTCCAGGAAAGGCGACGTAAGTCGAATCTACTTGTCACTAGGCTAAACCATAAATTACCATTCCCGGTTCTATATTTTATTTATTAATGCATTTTTAATAATATATGGTTAATTAATAAGGATCTATTTTAAGCTTACAAACAAATAAATTTTAGTTTTTAATATAGTACAGAAAAAAAGTAATCTAAATTTACGAATGCATGTACTATACAGTACATACTTGTAAATGTAACATATATATTTTAATGATTTTATGTGCTGTAAATGCTTTTCTAGTGATATTACGACTTCAATATTTGTGGCGGACAGACGTAAAGTCGAATAAAATGACTTAAACTTAATTTTTATTTTTCCATATACTTTTTCGACAAACGAGGTATAATCGGGAATGACGTAACTCGAAACGACGTAAGTCGAGGTATACCTGTATTTTTGGGGGGGGGGCAAAAAACAATTTTCTAGGCGATATAGTAAAACATTATATTAAGAATAATTAGATATTTTATTCGTTATATCGTACAATAATTAAACAAATAACATTATTCTAGTCACTAGACTATTCAATGCAGCACGAATTTGGCGTTAGCCTTGGCTCTGGGCATCCGAATTTTGAAGTGAAGGGGGCGATACTACGTAACAGTTTTATTGAAAGGGCGACGATTCGTTAGAGGTTGAGAAAAACTGCTCTAGGTAATTAGTCTATGCTGTCCAGAGTGGACGCGTTGTTTACAAAATGGCGGCGAGACGACTTCGTGGAATGCTTGCTATGGAAAATATGACAAGCATTAAAACGGTAAATTTGGCAGGTAATTGTTATCACTAACTAGATACACAACAAATATAAAGAATCTTCATAGAATAATAAGTTTTAAAAAGTGTTATTTTTAAAATGATATATTTACAAAATCAGAAATTATTAAATTACGTAAAAGATTATTAATTAAAGTACATACAACATATACACACAATTTGTCATTCTGTCATCTACAAAATCAGCCATTCTGTTCTTTGGAAGCGCAAGCAGCGGAAGAGGCAATCAAATTTGCTTGGTAGCTGCTTCCTGCACATGCCTGTAGAAGCATTATCTGGTGGTTGCTACATACTAAACGCAATTACTCCGGATGCGCACATTTGCTAGAATCAGCTTGTCCACTCCGCTTGGAAGCGCATTCATGCCTGCGGTCGCTGCCACGTAGGACGTAGCCTTAGATAGCATTCATTCATCTGGACCTGCTACATTCTGCGGGTGCGGGCGTTGTGTTATGCCCTGTGGTGGAGACCATGTAGAACAATTGCCTAATAAGTAATAAACAGTAATTTTCATTGTCGTTTGCATGTCTTTTTGTTGGTGATTTTTGGAACTCATTTTCCTCCCATCAACAAGAAATCTCTGTTCAGACCAGGGCTGTGGAGTCGGAGTCGTGGAGTTTTGGTGTTTTGGCCGGAGTCGGAGTCGTCAAAAAATCCGCCGACTCCGACTCCCATTTTACTTACCAACTTGTTATGTATACGAAACGGAGTCGGAGTCCGTAGNGCATTAAAACAGGTACCTAATTATTATTTTTTTTACCTACTTATTTAGTTACCTACATATTACATATTTTATTTTAGAATTTATTATTAGTTTTTTTAATTGGGGCAGCCGCTTAATTGGGCCAAAATGGATTAGTCCCAACGTGTCCCAATTAAGTGGAATCAACTGTATATCTCTCTGTTGTTTTTAGAGATTTAGTCAAAATTTAGTTTTGATGAACTTAAGTTATTTATGAGAAATTTACTTGTGCGTATTATATATAATATATACAAGTTTCTTATTAATAGATGATTATTAAATGATTATATATACTAGAAACTAGATATATAGATGTATTACTATCATAGTTTCTATATACTAGATATATAGAAACTACATGATTATTTAATGATTATATATATAATCATTAAATAATCAATTAGTTTCTTGTTTCTTTTTAACTTATTTTTAACTTCACTTGTTAAATTAAAATTGTGAGGAAAAATCATATTAAAGACATTTGTCTTCTCTTTTCCCTCACATGATATGACCATTGATTTTGAGATTTTTCTTCCAATTATAAAGCAATTGTTGTAGATATTTTTGAGTGGTATTTTTCTACTTATTGTAACATTGTAACTCTTTAGTTAAGTTTAAAAAATAAGTTATTTTAGTTACTATCTTGTGTTGCNGGTGCCTTTATAATATAATATATTAAGGAGTTATAAATTATATATTAAGGACGTTTAAAGTTCGGTGATGTCACTTCCAGAATTTGATGCATCTGAAAAGATTTTATCCCAAACATTCGAGAGATGGATGGCCCAATATCTTGGCCTCCATAATCATCAAATTTAGCTCCACTCGACTTCTTTTTTAGCCAAATGAAGAGACTGATTTACAAGACTCCTGTAGAGTGGGTGAAAGATCTGCTTGCATGACTTATGCAAGCAGACATTCACAAGAAATTCAACCCACACTAGGCATTTTTAAGCGGGTGTATCAGAACATGCTTTGCAGATACAATGTTTGCATAGATGTTGCAGTTCGCAGTTGATCATTATCAAAATCAAGATGAGAAGCCAAACAAGCGCTTAAGTATTACATTATTACTAGTGATGTAACGAATATTCGATTACTATTCGGTATTCGGCCTATTTTTCGCTATTCGGCCGAATACCGAATACCTAAAAACAGGAGTAAGAAATAACAAAAACACAGTAAATTAATCATTTTGGTATTTAGATTTAATGTTGTCGGGTTAGTGTTGTTTGTATAAATTTATTTATAACTTATAACATGCACAAAAAATATAATATTAGTCACATGTATTCACAATTTATAAGTACAAAGATCAGCACACGTACACACCTTATTCGTTCGAGATTCGTCGCACACATCTGAGGGTCTGACCCTGCCTATCCTTTTTAAGCGCTCGTCTTTGCTATTTCCTTTCTCTTTCTTCCATCTCTATAGTCCACGTATGCCTATGCATACATCATAATACGCGCTAATGATTCGATTCGTCACTCTTCCGTCGTAGTTTTTCCATTTTATAATTACGTGACTCATAGCCTGGTGATAACGGAGAAAAGAGACAGATAGGACGTCGGTATATGTCACAGTTATGATTTCACAGATTCGAGACAGCTTGGTAACCCGAACGGCACCAGGCTTTCGCCCGTGCACGCTAAGTGACTTTCATTACAAGCATTTAGCTTTCCGAAGTCTATGACAACAATTGTTTGGCATTGACGGCCACGAATTTCACGCCAATAAGCTGCCTGATTTTGTTTCATTATGTTATCAACTCAATTTCATATTTATTTTCACATTTTCACTTCGCGGTCCTTCTCTGTTCGTTTTCCGATATTTACACGTGTAGGTCATTTCATTGTTATTCACATTTGATATCATCATTTATAACATACTGGCAGTGGTGATATTCGAAATATTTAACAAAGGGTTCGCTAACAGAAAATTTTTCCTTAATTTTTTTTGTTCAAATGGTACATCGGAAGGCTCTAGGTTAGTAGTGTTACAGAGTATAATACGTATATTTTAATATATTTTTAAAAGAATCAAAACCATTGAGAAATGTCACATGTGTTTAACAAGGTTCGGAAAAGTTTGAAAATGTTAACAACGGGTTCGGCCAAACCTGTGCGAACTCGCTGAATATCACCACTGCATACTGCCATGACGTCTGTCTGATACAACTGTCAAGAATTAACGCAATTGGCGAAGTGTAGTGACAGCGGGCCAATAGAGATCAGGGTCCTTGCCATAATGCAATTTGCGCGCCAATTTTCGTACATGCGTTAATCGAGCCGAATAGTTTGGCCGAATATTCTGTTATTCGGCCTGAGGCCGAATATACTATTCGTTGCAACACTAATTATTACACATTTTTATTAAAACAACATTGCTTTCGAATACATAGTGTGTAAAATTTTATGAATCTATTTACTTTTTTTCAATTTAAATAACAGAATTTGTACGAAAATCCGGAAGCGACATCACTGAACTTTAAGCATCTATAACTCTTTAATAAAGGCTTTATACGAAAAATGCTACTAAATATATTGCTCTTAAGGAATCTGTCCTATAAGTTACAGGAATTACATTTACACTAATGAAAAAACTCCAGGAATTTACACTGAAAAACTGCAGGAAATTTTTGGGAGTGGTCTGTCTGGATACATGGAGCCTCGTCCTTCACCACCGGCTTGCTAAAAGGCCCTTTTACTACCCACAGGGCAGAAAGAGTTAAAAGATATCTGAAAGTCCTTCCAAAACCAATACAATCTTTAGCCCTTATTAGTCCAAGTTAGCAGGGAGAATTTACTGTACTACAAACTAAATATAATATTTATGTTTTTAATAAATTACAAATTAGTTGAAACAACATATTATATTAGTAAATTAATCTGAGAACAGATTAACAGTATTGACACTTCATTATTTACTTTTTTTCCTCTTTCTCAGTGCTGATTCAAGCAGTGAGACAACAGTTTTACTTAGAAAGGAGCGCACTTCTATTCCAGAATTGGAAGAAGCAGGAACTCAAACAGATCTGACATCTGCCGTTGTTGTATATCCCGGAGATGAAGCGCTACTCAATGTTTCGTGAATTTCTGCAAGAAATGGTATTATTGCTCATTTATCTTTTGTAAATTTGGACTATGTGTTGCCTGACAATCTGTAAGACAATCTTAACAAAAAAAAAAAAACTTTTGTTTTGGCCTGATTTTGTACAAATTTTCCATATGTTATTTTTATATAAAGATAATCATTACAGACAAGAAATGTGGAGTTTAGAATAGATTAAAAACAAAAGAAATTACAAGAAAGCCTTTGCAAAGATACTTATAGTGATTCAAACGGAAGTTTGATACGTCAACTAATTAAAATGCATTATTTAAATAATGTATTAATGTTATTTTTATATAAAAATAATCATTACAGACAAGAAATGTGGAGTTTAGAATAGATTAAAAACAAAAGAAATTACAAGAAAGCCTTTGCAAAGATATAAGTGTGTGTTTGTGCATGTGTTTATATATATATATCTGTAGATTTATGCATGCACTATGTGGTGTCTGCATAAAACTTCAATTGTTCATAACTATTTGATAAGTGCTTCTTTTGAAAAAATGTTTTAGATAAAAGTTTGTTTAATTTTGATGTAGAATCAGAATATGCAATAAAAAATGGGAGTTTTCCTTGAAGGAAATGAAGTTGGTTCCATTTTCACTGATTGTAGCACTGTATATTATGAAACGATGGCCTCATCTTATGGCCACCTCAAAGTATAGCATTTTTGGTTCAATGATTTTTTCATAGCATGTGTATTTTTCAGTTATTCTATTGGATTGATTAAAATGGTCCACACTATATATATACATACACATGCAGTATATTCAAATACCTATATACATTTATAGATTGGTCATTTGCATTCAGTAATTTTAATTGGAATTATTTATTGATGTAGTTATTATTTTTGTGTTAAAGTGTTAGGACAATTTAGTTTTTCTGGAAACATAAAATATTGCATGTTTGTTGAAAATGGGAGAGCGTTTCCCTAGCTATTACCAGTTGTTCAGTTAGTAGGAACTTGATACTATAGTAATAATAATAGGAGTCTTTTTACTCTAATTTTTAACAGTTTTAANTATAGTAATAACTCTTTTATAAATCCACAGGGAATCAAGCCAATTTCATTTATTCATAATGATCTACTTTAAATCTATTTAAAATTATTAAATCAAAATTTTTGTATCTTCTGTTCCAAAATATATTAACATGTTATTTTCATACTTTCAAGTGTCATATGCTAATTACAACAAAGTTAATTTTCTTTACTAATTATTGAATCATTCATTTCTCATTTTAGTAGTTTAGATCTATAAGACACAGTTTTGTTCATTCAAGAGCTGCTTAAAGAATGTTACAAAAATTTGGACAATGGCTTTACAACTTGCGTATTAGTAAGCTGTATGCCATATCTGACCTGGTCAGTTTGCATGAGTTACCATATTGGGTTTACTGATTTATAATATTTCATGAAGTATCCTTGTTTTGTGATGCTGTAAATTAATTTTTCATCTTTTTACTATAATTTTGCATACCTTAATGTTGGCACACAGAATACTATTGCATGCCAACTTTAAGCTGCATCACTTTTTTGCAACAGTGTGTGTCAGAGTAATTCAAAGCATTTTCAGATTACTGAATTTAAAGCAAATTGGTACAATTGTATTATAACATTTCAATTATAAATTGAGCATTAAAATATTATTGGCTATTCTCCAACAATAAGTCTCACAATTACACCTATCAATCAAACAAAGTTTTTCAAAGTGTCTTTATTTTTAGAAGAATTTCAAAATGATGAATAAAACTGATCTTTAGTATTTAAATTTTAAATTTTCTATGTATTTTTTAAACAATTATTTCTTTGAACATATAAAGCATTCAAATGTTTTAATGTATGCATGCTGAGAAGTTTGAATGCTCATATTTATTTAATCTGAAAGGAAAGGTAAGCTTAACCACTCCAACACAATAGCATATTTTCATAGTTATAGCAAGGCTAGAATTTAGTGTGATAAATACTGCAGAATGAGAACATTTATAATTTTACTGAAGGATATTGAACTTTCAGTAAATTTGTTACTGAAAGTTCAATATAAAGTTCAATAACAGTGTATATTTTAGCTTTTGGTGGAAACTAATGTTACTGATAAATAACTTTATATTTATTTTACTGAAAGATATTAAAACATAAAAAATTTAGATATATAAATTGTAAATTTTATTATCTCAGTCAGTTATCTAATGCCATTATATTGGATAAGCAATTTAATTTTCTTTACTGTCATACTATAAGGTCTCGAGAAACTGTACCTAATAGTGTTTCTGTATAAAATCAGAATTACTGAATCTTGTTAATAAAAACATCAATATCTTTTATTACAAAGACCACATGACATGATTCAAAACTATAATCATCTAGTTCTAGTTTTATCATGGTACTGATTTCTATATTACTGAAATCAAGCTTATTATATTTGTACAAGTAACACTATGCTAAATACTAACCAACCTGTTATCTGTCTGTAAATTTATGTAAATAAATATGAGTGTACAGTACTGTACATATAATTAATATCTGGTAAGAGTAACCATTCTATACTGAATTTAAGTTTAGATATTTATAAGTGGTAATTCTCCCTCACTGTAATTGGAACTTTACACCCTCACTGTAATTGGAACTTTACAATAGATCATCATCAATAATTAAAGCCAACTATGTCTAAAATGGGTTTCTCTTTCCACTTAGCTGCTGTAATTTGATATGGCTTGAAACAAATGACAATAAATTACCATGAAAAGCTACAGTATAAACACTGAAAGACATTTATATGTTAATTGTAAAGCTGATTTTAAATATTTGTTTTCTTTGCCTATACACATTGCTGGCTATTAAATATATATATATATATATATTCTTAGGTTTCATGACATGCTTTACAGCAACATCATCATCTTTATATATGTTAACAAATAACTTTAAAAAGTTAAATGTAAAAACAAGTTATTAACATTTATAAAATTTTGAAATTATAAAGAACTTTTAAATATTCTTTTGCAATACTTTCCAAAATTGCAGGAATTATCTTTATATATGAAAACTAATTTATTGATTATATCTTTAAAAAATGAAGAAGATAAGACTTTTAAAAATGTATAATATGTAGTTGAATACTGAAAAATGTTGAATTTGTAGTTGAACATATGAAATGTGTATGTAAAAGTTTACATCTAGAAGCAAAGATCAGACAGATAGTACAAGAACAAGAATGTGCCTGTCCACTATACAGTTTGAGTTAAGTTTTGTCCCAGATTAATTGGGAGAAACATTATATATTATTAAGCTTTGTACAAATTGGTGTACAACTGGTTATATTTAAAACAAATTTCTATTTAAAACTGATTGATTAAATTAGCCTTAATATAGCCTGAAAATAACCTGTCAGTTTTCCTATGCTTGTCAATTGATACAAGATTTAATTGTATTGTGTATATGTATATAACTTTATAATGAATTATATATACTGAATATCCTATAAAAAAAGCTATTTTGCTGCAATATTATCAGAAATTCAGTATGTTAAGCTAAAATTGAAATTTCTGCAAATAGAAATATTACTTTGATTTCCAAAATAGATATTGTAAGACTTGCAAAGAGAATATATCATTTTTTTTACATGTGAAATAAAATGACCAAATACCTCTATCTATAAACAGGGTTGGATGGTGGTATGAGGTGAATAGGCAATGGCCTCAGGTGACATTTTTTCTAATAAATTTAAGTGCTTTGTTCTCTATGATAATATTCAAAGACACAAGTGTTTGTAGAAAGTAAAGGTGTAACATTAATAACAAGAACAAAAACATAATTTCACATACAATGGGGCAGCTTGCTTCACTTTATTTCCACCATCTGACACTGTCTATAAGTGATTGTAGCATTATAAAATTTACTTATTCAATATTTTCATTTGAAGATAATGAAAACATTCTATATCTGGAAACAGTGGTGTAGCGTAGTGGGGGCAGCAGGGGCGGCAAAATTTCACAATAAATAACAATAAGATCTTGTAAAAATTTGAACCATTTTATTTCATAATTTCGTCGCACCTATGATTTGGACCGATTGAAATGAGCACGGAATAATGTTACCATCCAGACATAAGGGAATCAAGTCACCGTACAGGTGAACTATTAATTTTATCTAGGGATATCGTACGCAACCTGTCAACCTTTTTTTTCTTTTTTTTGCTTGTATGATTCATTCATATTCATATACACCTCCAATATCCAATAGAGCTAAGTCATCTAGGTTACTTATGTTACTCCTACCCAAATCTCCCTAGTCGCTAACTGTAACTGATTTAGAACCAGCATGCACTGCACCTTATTCTTCGCATTGCAAAATGACATATGCATGCGGCAGGAACTTCTGTTCGAACAAATCTCACCTGCCGTCCGGGTCAGCGATTTTAAAAAGATGGCAACACTAGCACGGAATTTTTCATTACTTATTCTGTGACAAAACTGAATTTTAGTCTTTTAAATTGAGATACCTAAATAAGGAGACAATGAAATTTTTCTTTGCCCCAGGCGGCTGACACCCACGCTACGCCACTGTCTGGAAATAAGAGTAAATGTACATAAAGTATTTTCTACTTACTTTATGTAAAGTATGCATATCATTTACTTTAAATTAGTAAATTCATCTGTTTTTGTACATATTGATTTTGCTTGTATGAACTCAAAAATATATGTATATATTGTGTATTCTATGCAGGGTATCCCTAAATATATAATTTAAAAGAAAAAAAAAGCAAAATATAAAATTTAATAATTATTTTTAATAAGAAAGATAAATATATAATGTATAGACTACATGTAAATTGCTTATATTAAATTATTTTAAATATTTAAAAAATGTAAATTACTATTTATTTTTATATGTGAAAAAGAAATAACAATATTTATGGGCTTACTTTTATATAAATGAAAAAAAAAAGAATGAAAGAAATTGGAACTTTTGTCATGGCAACACAATGCACTTTCGTATACTTTGCATGTGCCACACTATGCACCAAGTGCAAAAAGCACATTTGGTACTACCACAAATTGTGCATTGTTTACTCTAAGTGACCTTTGTTTTTGAAATTTTTGCACTGTTATTTGGAAATGATTGTAAATTGCACATTTGTCTTTGGATGTATTGAAAAATAATATATATATATTCATATGATTTTAACATTTCTGTGGATACAACTGTATGTGTGTGTGTGTGTTTTTATAATGTATTGTTATTCTACCAAAGAAAAGAAAAAATTATTTTGAAATGTTTCGGAAATACTTTTTTGAAATGTAATTTTGCATATTTGGAAATTAAAGAGTGGATTTCATTTAAAAGTTTTTGTTTGATTTCATCTAAATATGATTGTTATAAATTAAATTAGTATAGTTTTTATGTTTTTCAACAATACCAACTTTGTATTTTTAAACTTACATTTGGTAAGTATTAACATCTTATAATTTAATTAACTAATTAATTAATTAAATTATATGATGATAAAATAAAATTTTATCAATTTGAAATTAATTTAAATATCCACAATTTTCAAAAATTCCAATTGTTGATATTTAAAAAAAAAATAGAAGGCCTAAATTGTATGTGAAGAAAATAAGTGAAAGATACTTCAAATGATTGCATTCTTCTGTACAGATTTACTATATTTCAATTTTTGTTTTATCTATTTCCATTATAACATTGTATCTAATGATGTTAATAAGGAAAAGCTGAGCATAAATAGCATAATTGCAAAATTAAAGACAATTTCAGCAGATACAGATGTTCCCCTATTTACAAACTTTCAGACTTAAGAACAATTTGACCATATGTCTAAAATTTACATTTTGTGTCAATTCTGATGTTCTCTTGCTGCTTGTAGAGTGGAATTGGAGTCAATCATTAGCCAGTAATAATAAATTTTTAATAAATAATTAATGGGAGCTTATTTCATATCATTTATCATTGTGCAAATTTGGAGAGTCTATTGCTGCTCATGAAGTGACATCAAAAGTTGGTAACATTAGAGTAACTCTGTTTTTTGCTATTGTTTACAATTTTTATAAATTTTTACAAATAGTACTTCAAAAATGTGTCAAAAACATAATAGTAAATCTAGCAATGGAGATAAATGCAAGAAGTGTTGCTCTATTACCATAGAAACTAAACTGGACATTATATAACTAAGGGTGTTAGATAAAAAAACTGCATTTGAAACTTCTGCTACTAAGCAGTAGCAAGCAAGTAAATGAATGTATGTATTCCATTAAGTAAAATGAAGGATAAAACACTGAAAATAGGTGGTTATTCTGTGTATAAATGTACTATTTAGTGTGAAATGTTCATAAGTTGAAAACTGATTTATGACAAAACCTAGAAAACATATTCTATTTATAAGTAAGGGAGTGCCTGTACATAACATTACATCTTCATATTCAGAATATATTTTTTCTTTTTAACAATTTATGATATTGACAGATAGTATTTTAAAAGTAATGAATTCTTGAATGGAGATGTAACAAGTTGCAGTATTAATATTTAAATTTCTTTCTCTCCTAATACAAATTACTTAGATATTTAAACATTTGTTTATGAATAAAATGCTTTAAAGCAGTGATTCCCAAACTTTTTTGATTCACTGCACCCTTGCTAAATCTAGGTTTTCTCAAGGTGCCCTATGTCAAATTCTAACAAGTACAATTTGCAAAATAGCCAATATTTTTCTAAGTTAAAGAGTTAGGATGTTAAGTAAAAAATAAATAAAACACATATTTAAGATAACAAAAAAATGTAATTGAACAAATTCAATTAATTAGAATTAGTAGGAAGAATGATCTGATGATCACTGCACATTTTCTCAAATCTTGCAATCAAACTGGACACATCCACCCACATTTCCTTCTCTACATTGATTCTCATGCAATGCTTAGTTTTTATCACAGCAACAAACTCAGCTTCACACAAATAAGAAGTCATAAATGGAATTAATATTCTCTGAGCTTTACCACTCAGAAGGGATATTCATCTTTTTACTGGTATCCAAAATTCAGTTAATTCCATGCTACTAAATTTTGTTTTCAGCATATTGTTGGGAAGACAACTCAATAAGATTCTCTTCTTCTGCAGCAGTAAATTCAGATAGAGAACTGGCATTAAACAGATTTTGAATCCATGCAAATTTATCGATATTATCATTTTGAAAATATCTTTCAAACCAGGTGATATGCTGTGATAAATGTTCTTCAAAACTATATTTCATACCTCGAGAGAAATCAACTCTATTGGAAGTCAAAAACTCTGTTGCAACAAGGGGACACATTCTTTTCCTCTGTCTTCATTTATTTTTCTTTTCCATAGTTTGAATTTTTTTATAAAAGCCAAAATTTTCTCAATCGACTTTTAAAAGGTGCATGTTGCTTCCCTGCAGGGAGAGATTCAGAGCATTCAGCTTTTCAAAAATATCACATAAGTATGCTAGTTTTACCATAAAATCTTTATTCACAAAATTTTCGGGATAGTTGTGGTCTTCTTCTTTAAGAAAAATATAAATTTCCTGTTGCTGTTCAAATGTACGAGACAAAAAATTACCTCAAGATCACTCTTTTGTAATAATGTTTTGTATTTTCTCAAGTGCTGTAGTACAACAAAGATGTATGCTCAGATCCCATATCCTCACATAGTTTTTTTTGAAAAATCTTGCCTTCAACAGCCAAGTTTTTATAAAGTTTATTACATTTACTACGTATTCTAATGCCTGGTTCAATGTAGGACTCAGATATTTTGATACTAGTGCTTCCCTGTGAATAACACAATTGGTCCACAGTGCATCAGGGTCTTTACTTCAAAAAAGTGCTTGCAATCCTCCATAACACCCAGACATAGAACGAGCACCATCAGTACAGACACAAATGCATTTGGTCCACTCTAAATTTCTTTCAGATATAAAAATATCAAGGATCACGAACAAGTTGTGAGCCTTAGCACCAGAGGTGATACTTTTAAAAAAGAGAAAGTCTTCTATAATGTTTTTACTATCTATAAACTGTACATAGCAAATCAAGTGAGCATCATTACTATTATCTGTAGCTTCATCCAACTGCAACCCAAATTCCTTTCCTTTTATTCTTTCAATTAATTGGACAGTGGAGGTCCTTTGCTATGTGCTGTATTCTGCGACTGATGGTGTTATTGGACAAAAGCTGCTTCCCAACAGACTCACCAATCATAATGTTCACCATATCTATAGCAGCTAGTAGAATTATTTCTTCTGCAATGGTATGAGGCTTCTTACATTTTGTGACTCTATGTGCAATCTTTATTGCTGAGTTAATGATTTGCACCAGATCTGCTGGATGTCACGTTTTATCACACTGAATTGAAAATGGAAGTAAAATTATAAAAATTTTATAACATTTTGTAGTTCCCCTGTGGGGAAGCCATGGCTCCCTAGGGTGCTGCGGCACATACTTTGAGAACTGCTGCTTTAAAGTATCAGAAATTCAAAAAACATCTTTCAGAATTGAAACTCTTTAATAAAAACAAAAAGTATACACAAGTACTTTCAACAGTGCATTACCATCTTCATCAGGCAAAATGTTCTTTTTTCTTTCTTTTTTTTTTGCCTGATGAAGACAACAACAGTAACACTAATAACACACTGTTGAAAGTACTCGCATACAGTTTATTTTTATTAAAGAGTTTTAATGTTAAAAGACAGTTATTTCTTGTATTACATATATAATTTGATGTCAAGTCTGTGTTCAATATTTAAAGTATTGTTTTCATACTTGAAAAATGCAGAGGCTTCTCAACTTACATGTTTTGACATACGATATTTTGCACATATGATGGCCAATGAAAGTGAAGCAGAAGTGCAGGAAAACAGTTGGAATTTGAATTCAAGCTGCTCTACTTATGTGTTAATGATCTTTCTTGAGATTTTTCTTTTTATATATATATACAATCTTATATCTTCTTGAGTTTTACAATATACCTATTATGTCTGCAAAATGCCTCACTGCATCTCCTATTACTGGGGAGAAGAAAAAGAAGGCTATTATTCTCAATGAGAAACTTACAATAATATAACTGTTATTGCCATAGGCAAGGTAGTTATCACTTGTGAGTTTGGGCTATCACAATCAACAATAGACCAAACTCAAGTTACACGCTGTACAATATGCAATGTTATGTACTGTATTGCCTAGTATACAACCAATTTATTTTTTTATTTTTGTCTTACGATGTGTTTTTCAGAATGTAACCTCATTGTAACTCAAGAGACTATAGTAGTAATAAATAGGAAGATTTAATAGTAGTAATTGTTATTTTGCCAAATTAAAAAAATTCAATTCAGCAAATTTATCATTTTATTTTGTAGTGTACAATAATGCTATTTATATCTCAAAATCATCTTTAAAAATTATTACTTTTTTATTTTAAATAACAAAACCTAACTATGCATAAATATTAACTAATCACATTTAAACTTCAAATAAGTTTTTGTTGCTATTTTATCTTCAGTATCTTGTGCGCATGTGAAATAAGACATATATAACAATACATATAGCATATAGATCTTTACTTTTTTTTAATTAACCTATGGATCACAGTATCATTTATGTTCCATCATATCATAGACGGATGAAAAGTTGTACTAGAATCACGTGTAGTTTTCTTTCTTACTTCAGAAAGACTTTTCAAAAACTAGAATAAACTAAATAGCATTTAAAACTAAAACAGCTATACAGAATGAATAAGTGAACCTAAATTACAAAAATTTATAAATATAATTTGGATGGCTTTTATATTTTTGGTAAATTGTTCCTCTTGGAGAACAATATATATGTAATATATAAATGAAATACATCAAACTATATAAAAATCAACAATCAACTGATAAAAAGTAAATGTTAAAACAATTACAAATAACACAACACTAACAATACATTCACTTTCCTTTTGTCTTTTTAAATAAATTCTGAGCTATAGTCTAAATGTTACCATTCTGAAGAGAATTAAAAATATGAGATACTTCTGTCTTGCTAACAAGAATGTTATCATCCATGGTTGGTGATGAATGAGTCTGATTCAATCTCACACCTGGATTAGTAGGCATAGCAAGAATAGCTTCATCTTCTTCCTCATCATCCTGTTTAAAATATGTATATAAAATCAAATAAATAATCTTTAAAAGAATCTGTATTTATAATAGAAAAAATCATACATTAAAGCCAAAACATTCCTCTACATCCTTCTGTTTTTGCTCTAATTTTTTTTGCACTATTTCCGCTTCTTTCCTTTTTATTTCTTCTGGATCATTAGCAACTCTTACTATTTCTTCTAAATCTATTTTCATATTAAATAATGAAATTAACAAAAATATCTTACATAGAAATTATAATTTTAAAAACTTAAAATTAGTTTTTTAAAAACAGAAAATTATAAATCTGCTTAGTTTCAATATTTAAAAATATAAACTAATTATTTTTCAGTTTTCAACCTTCAGAACTCTTTGAATTCTTTTGAGATCCTAAGTTTGGTGTTTTTCTTGGAGGAACTACCGTCACTATGTTTTCAGCTTCACCAGTTTCCGCAACTCTCCTCTTTCTGCTCTGTCTTGTTTCCATCACTAATAGAGTTGTTTCCATTTGATCATCACCATCATTTTCTAAACAACAAACTTCATTTTCTTCACTATTTTCTTATGTAATAATGTAACAAAAATAAAATTTTAATACTAATTAAAAATAATTAGTGTTAAACATATATTAATATGCTATAACTCTACAATTAAACAAGTAAAGTATATCTCATAGTTAAAGATATATTTGAATAATAATCAAAGTTCTACTATATAACCAATTAACCAAATCACCAAAACTCAGAAATGCTGGATCAATCTTTAGATGTATACACCCTCTACTCACTGTAACAGCTCATATGTTTTTACTGTCATCCATTTTAGTATAATAGATAACACCAATTGAGAGACTGAAATAATACAGCAATAAACACATCTATCAGAGAGCCTTAATTGAATTCCAGGGAATTTTGTAGATTGAAAGTGTTAGTCCAAAAGTTTTATTTTGAATTAAATCTCTCTGGAATTCAATTAATGCCCTTTAATAGATGTGTTTATTGAATTTTAGTCTATTTCCAGCTTTTGTTTCCATCACATAGCAACGTTTAGTATTATGTCCTGACTGATTTTCAACTCCATTCTATTTTTGCAGCTTGGATGCAACACATTTTTGTTTACATGACATTCAGGACATTCCAATTTTCAACACGAGTGTTGAGTGTTGAAACCAACAATTTGACATCATCAACAATGTTCCAACTCAAGTACAAAATGCTTAGTTCCCATAATTCCATTCTCGGCAAGATGGATTCCATTCAAATGTTGCACCAATTACCCACAATTCATTGGAAAGTAGTGGTCAACATATCTGTTGAATGCTGAGTGTGTTGAGTCAGCGTTGACAACAAACCACTTCAACATTGGAAAAAGGAATGACTTTTGCCAATCATTGAGATCAGCACTTAGTCAGCATTGAAAATTGGGATGTCCCAATTGTAATTACAATGTTAAATAAACAAAAATGTCTCTCTGACAATGACAATCAAAGAGCAAATAATTACAGTACAGCGTCGATTATCCAAATCAATTCAGGACTGGGGTTGTTCGGAAAATCAATATTTCGGATAACCGATTATGTACGAAAAAATATATTAATTTATCCCATGTTGAAATTTTTCTCTGTTGCATATCGCTTCGCGTTGAATTTTTTGTCGATGTTAAGCCTAACGAAGACTATTGTATTGTTAAAAATTATTTTTTTATTTTGTACGAACAAAATAAATATATTGAAAAATATAAAAACAATAAAAAATTATACTTCAGAAGTTAATTTAGTATCGAAAACGTAAAATATTTGAGTGGCCCAAGACATAGCCAAAGATTGCAGCGCCACAGCACTGGCAAAAATTTAAATTTGCCGACTGGAATTCTTTCGGATAATTGACGTTTCGGATAACTGACTTTTGGATAATCGACTCTCTATTGTACTTTGTTCAAGAAAGCAATCGGAGAAGAAATTCCTTAAACTAATTATCTAAATTTCATTTGTTGCAAACCAATTTGAATAAACCTCATTCTACTATTTTATATAGTTAAACTTCCAAATAACAGCCACTGATAGGAGCATAAAAATTTCTGCCATTTACAAGTGGCCATTGTTGGCAGGTGTTATTATTTCAGGTTTGACTATACAATTTATTTTAATATTTTAGAAAGCATTTACAATAAATTTGTTTTTATTAAATTTTAATATAAAACATACCTTTAAAATTTGATTCATTATGAGTAGAATTATTTATTTTTCTAGGTCTACCTCTACTTCTTTTGGGAGTTTCTTGCAATGTAATAGAATCATTTGATTGATTATATTCTGAAAACGAATAAAAACAAAAAATTTTAATTTTTACAAGAATGTAAAAAATAAAATTTTGTATTTACTTTTTTCAGAATTTTAAACATGGAATAAAACTCAGCATTAACAGACTGATGGTATAATTTTTTCTGTTATCACATCTTAATAATTCTGATTGATCAATAGTTTGATATTACTATGAAAGTAATTTTTTATATACATAGATTTTCTCATAAAATTTGGAAACTGATTTTTTATTGATAATTTCTCAGATAATACACATTACTAAAACATTCTTAAAGCCAGCAATTACAAAATAAAACTCATAGTTAACATATAAAATAAAATATTTATCTATAATTTTATGATTGAATATGTTTACATTTTAAGAAAACAGGAATTTAAATTATACAGGGTGATCGGAAAATGTCTGGCCAAAATTTAAAGAGGGTTAGAGGGGACGAATATAAAAGGATTCACAGTACAATGCTTTTCCGGAAACAACACGTGAAGGTGGTAGAGGGTGCTGTGTAGGGCAGTCCAAACAAGCCAGCAATGAGAGAAGCTGTCATTCCCTGCTGTGATTTCATACAGCATGCAGCACGTCACGAATACTGAACTAGCAGATATCCATCTGACGTATGGAGCTGCGAATGGAAATGGGAGAGCTGCGCAAAGGTTGGGCCTGTTACATTTGCTTGTGTCTCTTTCCTTTTACCTTTCCACTTTCTTTACTCTCCTGGACTTTCACGTGATGTTTCTGGACAAGCATTGTACTGCAAATCCTTTTATATTCGTCCCCTCTAACTCCCTTTAAATTTTAGCCAGACATTTTCCAATCACCCTATATATGATGTCCCAAAAATCGCAATGCATGAGAAAACTGGATCATCAGTTTCTAGGTTCACAGATTGGTCATTATGGTCTTGTGGAGTGGCCTCCAACCCTCTTGATTTTTATCTGTGGAGGTACTCAAAGGCTTCTATATAACAGAAAAAAATTCAAAACATGCATCACCTAAAGAAATCATTCAAAGTTCAATTTGGTGCATAGCATCTGATGTGTGAATACAAGTTCAGTTTGAGTGGAATTAATGTATCCACATATGTTTAGAAAAAAATGGCCTATATGCAGAGTTTTATAAATACAGATATTTTTCTAATAAGTGTTAAATTTTCTCACAGATTGAGACTTTACAAGACTCTCTACATTTCCATTTAAAATTGACATTCCCTAATTCATTTTATTTATTTAATAGTTATAAATATATAATGAAATGAGAAATTATTTATTATGACATTGTGAAAATACCAGAATACAATTTTTAAATTTATTTAATTTAAAATATATTCTCTCCACCTCAAAATAGTAGTGTCTTGCCCCTGTACATCATACTTTTCCTGTTAGCAATAGTCAAACTGGTCATCTAACTAACTCCTTTCAGGGAAAATTTTCGAACTGAAATAACGTGACTTCCGGTTTGCATCAGAAGTTCACATATAATCAGTTAAAGCCTCCTGTTCCTAATCTTTCCATATCTGCTTTCGACTTTCATCTACTAAATCCATTCTCAAGATTAAGGAAAGACAGATTGACAACAGTGGAAATTTATGTATACAATTTTTTCAAATTGTAGCCCAATTATAAGAACTACAATGTTTTTCATACACAGTTGAACTTCCATATTGTAAAGTTCTATGTTATAAATTCTTTTTCTACAAACTATATCTTATGTATTTTTAATATTTTACTTTCTCATTATTTGAAAGTATACCTGGATTCATTACATACTTTTTTAAAAACACAATGGATTGTTAATTCTAAGGTAAAGAATTAAATAAAAGATGTTGAGTAGTCTAATGTCTTTAATTAACACTCCATTACATTAATTTAAAAAGTATTATATATAATATTTGCATTACAGGCAGTGCCATCAAGTGGTTATTTAGTTTCCTTCAAAAAACAATCATAAAAAATCTCCCATTTGATGAGGAAATGATCATACCCATTTGCAGCCCTGTAGACAGTTAACCTTTAATTTCTTTAGTGAATAGATACAAATATAAAACTGTACATACTGGTTGTAGCCAGTTAAGTTACAAATAAATAGGAAAATAAAAAAACAAATAATTTACTTAAATAAAATTTATTAAACATATAAAACATAAAATTTCTCAGTATACAACATCAGTACTTTAATGAACTGGAAATAAGTATGCTTTACCATATTCAATATAGATACATATATATATTTACATATTCAATTCTGCTCCCAGTAAATTCTAACAAAAACTAATATTGGTATTGACACATATCCCTTTCATTATATGACTTTTATTTCTCTAAAAAGATTTGAATGACCTTCACAGTTAATTTGCATGTAGAAATGAACATCAAAGTCAATGACAACATAATTTTTTATCCATTTTTAAGAGTTCTTCTTCACTTAAATGTCATTTTGTTTGAAAGAATGATGTCATTCCTCCTTACCTAAATTTAATTTACAATGATCTTTCCACTATTAATAAAATTAAAAAATAATTGGATTGAAAAATTCTTTTTGAAGCATTTTTATACCTAATAAGGGACATTCTATAGTCGGAATAGCAGGAAAGAGTGCCTCTGCAGCAAGAGAGAAATTCAACATAATTTTGCTTCTAATTATTTTAAATGAGATTAAACAGTAAAATAGATGCAATAGAGCTAACTTAATTAATCCCTTCCCAATCCCTCAAAATAAAGCCTTTTGTTACACTTCAGAAGTTAATTTAGTATCGAAAACGTAAAATATTTGAGTGGCCCAAGACATAGCCAAAGATTGCAGCACCACAGCACTGGCAAAAATTTAAATTTGCCGACTGGAATTCTTTCGGATAATTGACGTTTCGGATAACTGACTTTTGGATAATCGACTCTCTATTGTACTTTGTTCAAGAAAGCAATCGGAGAAGAAATTCCTTAAACTAATTATCTAAATTTCATTTGTTGCAAACCAATTTGAATAAACCTCATTCTACTATTTTTACATAGTTAAACTTCCAAATAACAGCCGCTGATAGGAGCATAAAAATTTCTGCCATTTACAAGTGGCCATTGTTGGCAGGTGTTATTATTTCAGGTTTGACTATACAATTTATTTTAATATTTTAGAAAGCATTTACAATAAATTTGTTTTTATTAAATTTTAATATAAAACATACCTTTAAAATTTGATTCATTATGAGTAGAATTATTTATTTTTCTAGGTCTACCTCTACTTCTTTTGGGAGTTTCTTGCAATGTAATAGAATCATTTGATTGATTATATTCTGAAAACGAATAAAAACAAAAAATTTTAATTTTTACAAGAATGTAAAAAATAAAATTTTGTATTTACTTTTTTCAGAATTTTAAACATGGAATAAAACTCAGCATTAACAGACTGATGGTATAATTTTTTCTGTTATCACATCTTAATAATTCTGATTGATCAATAGTTTGATATTACTATGAAAGTAATTTTTTATATACATAGATTTTCTCATAAAATTTGGAAACTGATTTTTTATTGATAATTTCTCAGATAATACACATTACCAAAACATTCTTAAAGCCAGCAATTACAAAATAAAACTCATAGTTAACATATAAAATAAAATATTTATCTATAATTTTATGATTGAATATGTTTACATTTTAAGAAAACAGGAATTTAAATTATACAGGGTGATCGGAAAATGTCTGGCCAAAATTTAAAGAGGGTTAGAGGGGACGAATATAAAAGGATTCACAGTACAATGCTTTTCCGGAAACAACACGTGAAGGTGGTAGAGGGTGCTGTGTAGGGCAGTCCAAACAAGCCAGCAATGAGAGAAGCTGTCATTCCCTGCTGTGATTTCATACAGCATGCAGCACGTCACGAATACTGAACTAGCAGATATCCATCTGACGTATGGAGCTGCGAATGGAAATGGGAGAGCTGCGCAAAGGTTGGGCCTGTTACATTTGCTTGTGTCTCTTTCCTTTTACCTTTCCACTTTCTTTACTCTCCTGGACTTTCACGTGATGTTTCTGGACAAGCATTGTANTTAGATAATTATTAGATAATTATATATTAGATAATTATATAGATATTAGATAATTATATATTAGTCTCTATTTGGAGCTATCAGTAGCCTGAAGCAATAACCCAAATAAAACCAAAATTGATAAACTTACTATTTTAAAAAGGGAAAGAAGAATGGAATGGAACAAAGAAAAACAAGTTTAAAAAATTGCCATGTAAAGTTTGAAATGTAATGTGTAATACAAGAAGAAAGAATTAAGATGCAAAAACTGATGGCATACTGGTTTTATTGGAAAATGTCACAGTTAATATGGTTACACTACTATGTATGTCACAATATTGTGGAACATGAACTGGATCGTCAATACCATGCAACAGTATAACCACATTAACTGTGACATTTTCCAATAAATACTGGTATGCCATCAGTTTTTGAACCTTAATTCTTTCTTCTTGTATTACACATTATATTCCAAACTTTACAGCACCCTCTATCAACAATTGTTTAAACTATTTTTTTCCTTGTTCCCTTCTTAAATAGTAAGTGTATCAATTTTGATTTCATTTGGTTTATTCCTCCAAGCTACTGTGAGAATACAGGCAAGGATCTGAGCCCTCTGATCATCGAATTGGTAGAACTCACTCACAGAGTCACTGAATGGCTTTAAATAGGAGGATCTTTAAATCAAACAAGTGGGGAGCACAGTGGGAAAGTCGATAAGGTGTCCCGGTTCCAAGTAATAGACAATCAAACCAGTTTTTAAACTCAACAAATAAAAGTTTAATAAAACTAGAAATCTAAGATATACATATTACAAATTAGGCGAGTAAATGCAGATAATATACGATTATACAATGAGGTGGCTATTCTACCTTCTATGCCGTGAGACTATTCTACTTTCTTGGATGCGAAGAGAGAGAGTTTACAACTTTCTAACAAAATACCTCAACTCTCTGTTGATTGTCAATAAGATGTTGTTCTATCATCTTGACGAGGATTCACCGTCAAAAGAATATCAAGTGTCTTCTCCGGGGACTTCATATTTCCCTTTTTGGTGGATGTCCACTTTTATGGGAGCACTTATGACCAAACATTAATTCCTTGAAACATTATGACAAATGCTCGGAACTATCGGTGTCTTGTCCTTTTATGCATTTTGCCTGGGAAAGTGGTCAGGTGATTGGCAGTTGTTTAGAGCCAAAGGTTGCTTTTGCAGGTGCGAGTTTGACGATGACTTTCATTGATGTAATGGTGTCACTTTCCTCTCCTTTCACAATCGGATGTGATCATTTAGCAACTGACTGTTAAAATTCTCATCCATTTGTTGATAGAGAACGTCATTCAATCTGTGTCTGGTGCGATGTTTATCCTAACTATTGCGACAGATGTTATTTAAAAATTTTCTTAAAAATGGATTTTAATATCCTTGAAAATCATGTCTCTCACACTACCAACAGCTCCAAATAGAGATACTTATTTTATAACCAAGTAGTATATGTGATGAAAGCAGAAAATTATTGAGAAATAAATAATTATGACAGTAAAAATTCATAATTGCATAAACATTCTTTAGAATTCAATTTTAAATATAACTTAAAAAGTTTGTATACATTTTAAACTTACCTTCTGATTTTAATGGAGTAATCAAATCAGAAATTTCAGTGTCGTCGCCATGAACTTGGGCAATGGCAGCAGCCACTTCCTCTGCTAAACTTCCTGAAGGAATCTGCTGAATAATAGTTAAACCCTGTGAATCAGTATCTGCTGCAGAAAGTGTCACAGTACCATCTGGCATTGCACTAATTATTTTATTTTCCTCTCCAGTCTCATCATTAGGCAGCTGTATAACTTCAAATACTACAACCTACATCAAAATTTTAAGATACTGTTAAATTAGTAAAGAGAATTCTGTATTTAAATTTAAACAATAATATTTTATTGCATAACCTGTGATTCATTATTGCATGTTAATGATCCATTTGTTTGTAGTTCAGCTATTTGCATACAATTATAATCATCATCGATATAATCTTCTTCACCATCAGGTTGTTCTCCTGGGCCTTTAGGTTCACCAATACGCAAAGCTTCTTCTTTCTCTGCTGCAGAAGCATCTGGATCATGAACTGCCATATGTCTAATTAAATTGCCCTAAAATAGCATTTAAAGTATAAAATAATTATTCAAAAACATAATATATTCAATATATAATTTTACCTTGTGACGGAAGCTCTTTCCACATTCACAACACTCGTGAGTTTTTTCTTTGGGAAGAGGAGGAACATAAGATGGATCATGATATAAATTTTTATGCCTTCTCAATAACTGTTTCTGACGAAATGATTGATCACATTGATCGCAACAAAATGGTTTTTGATCAGTATGTATCAACATATGTGATTCTAAATGACGTTGAGATATTGATGCATAAGAACATAAATAACATTTGAAACATTTTTCTCCTTCATGGGTTTTCACATGCACCTATAAGAATTGAAGTAATAAAAACAAATATGACTAAGTGGTAATTAATATCTAACATCCATAAAGTAACTTTGGTCAAAAATAAAATTATTATTTTATTTTTATAAATTGTGATAAAATCTGACATCAAGGTCCGTTGCTCACTGTCTGAGACTATATTGTGTCAACTTAGCCAAAAACATTGATGATGCATGAATTAAACCAGTCTATTTTTAAAACAGGTGGTACTTTTTCAAATACAGAAGGTAAATATTGGTGTGAAGGACTGTTTTAAGAAGAAAAATGCTTTATTGGCATATCTTTTTCTTTCAAGAAAAATTGATCCATTTCTGTTAACAAAGGCAGTAATTTAGAAATTGACAGAACTCTCTTCTCTTCAATGTATAATCACCATGGATTATAATCATATCACAATCAAAGCTATCTAACACCATTGTTTCCATAATGTCCTTCTTTGTATGTTTTATATGTGAAATTAAATTTTGCTCATCTTCACTGCCTGCTTTTTGGCAAATCTGTTTTACTATTGACAATGATACTCCAGTAATCTGACTTGTACACTTTGTGGAATGATCAACAGGATGATAAAATAGCCATATTTTGGCTTCCCTTTCACAGAATTGAATGTTGTACAAAAATCTTTTTGTTTCATTGCAAAAGAGTAAGATGGGATGTTCCATGGTAAAACATGGAAACATACAAAAGAATATGAAAAGACAATTTAAATCTCATATTATATTCACTACTAACAATAAATAGCATTTCTGCACAGCTTCCTTTCTACCTACTGCCCATCTAAGACCAGTTCAAGAAAATTGGCAAAACAGTGATAGGCAAACCTATGCTGGCTGATCTATAGCAACAAAACTGAATATGCTTTGTGTTCTGCTGTATGTATTTAACAGATTACATATATTAGATAAATTAAAAAAAAACAGACTAAGCTATTGTTCAGTGAAAATTTAGATAGATTCAATTTGGAACTCAGTTTTTTTTAACTTAGCTTAATCATTGAAACAAAGATATGTTGTGATAATTTTAAGTCACTCTTCATGTTTTCAATAATAGCAGTAGAATTTACAGATGAAATGACAGTTACAAAAAAATACATTCACCTCCACCAATTAAGTAAAAATTTTATTTTAAAAATTAAAAGTAACAGGTTACAGATACTGAGTAGTTCTTTGCAATGATTTCATGCAATTTACTTTTAAAAAATACTGAATGACAGAATGGTCTATTCATTATTAAAGTTAATTTATTCATTTACATTTATTATCACACTATTCAAAATTTAAGATGTTTGTTTTAATTAATGATAGATGATACTTTATAGTAAACTAATTTTATATTAACTTAAAGATATCTTTGTAACAAAGCTGTTGTAACAAGCTTGATGCATGCCTCATACACATCATAAATAGCAAAATTCACTTCCATCACATGCTATTTTGTTACGAAAAATAACAACAAGACTAATTGATAAATTAATGCTTGTTATGCTTTCTGTATAGCAAACCAGTTTAATTTCCACAGCCAAAGAAGTTCTTTTAGCTGCAAGATAAATTATAAATTACTAGTACAGTTCATCATCTCAGAAGTGAGCTTATGAAAATTTTTACTCTATTAAACATTGATTGTATGTTCAAAATTAATAATAATAATTTCAAAGTTCTTTGTAATTTCATACTAAAAAGAACAGCTCTAAAAGAAATCATTTCAATAGAAAAATAATTTATAGTTATTTTGTGAAAGACCTTCATATGTAAAGAATCTATATATAGTATGTAGTACATACATATACAGTAGAGCATTGATTATCCGACCCCCAATTAACCGTCACATCGGTTAACCGACCGTTCTAGTCGGCAAATTCAAATGTCTGCTAGTGATGTGGCGCTACAATATTTGGCTATGCCTTGGCTACTTTAATAGTACTTTTACGTGTTTTAGCTGGCAACACTGGCTCGACCATGAAAGGGAGCCAGTATTTAAACGAGGCTTAATTTTCTAATTTTTAACGATACAATAGCAACAATTATTATTTTTAAAAAATCTTTGTTAGGATTAACATCAATGAAAAGTCAACACGAAGTAGGTTAACGATATACTAATATACTAATTACATTTAACAAATTAATAGTGATATACTAATATACTATACTAATAATGTATTTTTTCATATTTTTTGGTTATCCGTTTTTTCAGTTATCCGACCAACCCCAGTCCCCAATTGAGTCGGATAATCGATGCTCTAATGTATATAAATATCTGAAAGCCTGATGTTTTTAAATCAAAGTCAAATAACCATTATAATGAATTGGACTTCTTCTAGTACCAAATTACAGTAAGACCCCACTTAATGTGGGGAATATGTTCCTAGATGACAAAGCACTAAACAACACAGTGTTAAACAAGGTCCTTTTAACACAGATTAAATAGGAAAAGGGAAACACGCATCCAAAAATAAACAGTTTTTGGATGCGTGAAGGAAAAACGATGAAAGTTTTCACATATACATATGCACACAGAAATGTAAAGTTCATTTTTTGTGATAAAAATCCTGGCTCTTCTGAAATTCTTGATTTTTTTGTGATAAGGTCATCTAGTGTTATTTGTCGCTTTTTTCTTTCCTTAAGCAAATGTCGATAGCAAGAGATTGCATCCAAAATGCCTCATTTTGCTTTTGCACTCATTTCAAAATCTGGATCATTCACTACAGTTTGATCAATGATTTTGATTATTGTTATCAAACTTTTACTAAGGAAATCTGTAGAGAAATTCTTTGGTTCTTTGTTTTCAGAAATCACTATTTACCAGTTCTACATGAATTCCTTGTTCTGCCAGTTCTTGAATGTCATCATTGGTAAAGCTCTCATCAGAAACATGCAGTAACTCCTCAATATCCTGTTCGTCTACATCTCCTAGTCCTGCTGTATCAATTACGTTGGCAATTTGGTCAATCTAACAATAGAGTGATAGGCTCTTCTCATTGAAAATTCTTGGATACCTCCAGCCATAACTTCTTCCATACTCCGTTCATGCATTTATCAGTTAATTCTAGCCAAGCAAAGTCGATATTGCCTATGTCATCCATGATGTTATATTTTTTCTAAAATTGCACCAAACAAACATTAAGGAAAATACAGCGCTACGACGAATTGCCACCTTTTGCTGATTGGTTCATGTTCGGGAATATCATATTATATATGAATCAATGAAATGCCACGATAATTTGAATCAGTGTAAATTTTGAGCTTTTTTCAGTCTTCGAGCAGACCACGATATATTGAAGAAGCATTAATCAAGAAAGCATTAAACAAGGTCTTACTGTACTTAGAATTTAATTATTAATAGTAGTGGTATAATAGCCCAATTCATTACAGTGATTGTTTGGCTTTGAGTATGGACAAAGTAATAAAGTGTATGTACTATACTATAAATTAGCTTTGTTCTTTGTAGTTATCACAGTTACATGTACGTATTTCCAGTGTTTATTTGGTATTTTCAATAGTCCATATAAGTGTCAGATTAGTGAGATCACACTATAATTAAATCTATTCAGTACAATCTGGACTACTGTAAGTCATCTTCTTTTAGTCAAAGTTAAAATAATTTCTACAAGTAAAATCAATTTTATCAAAAAATTTAATTTTTAAACCAATAATAATTTAAAGTGATTATTGCAATGTGATTTTTCTGTTATTATATTGTATAGCATAAATTTTAATCTTCTGTACTGTAAATAGCTAATTTTGTAAACCACAAAACATTTTAGAATATTTTTAAAACTATCTTCAGTTATAATGTATACAAGCATTCTACAATATAATAATTTACTCAAATTTTTTAAGTATCTCAAAAATACACATTGTATGTTGTATGTGTTTTAGGAATCATTATTCAAAAAATTTGTGAACTATAAAATTGTAAGAAATAAACATTTTACAAAGTAATTATTATGCCTTTTTGTCCTTTTTTTTATAACTCTATTTAAAATTTATTTTGTATTACTAGTACAATCTATATATTAACAGGACTTATTATACTGGAATTATGGATGCAGATATTTAGTCTTACAGTTCAAAAATAATGTTCTTTATTTATTTCACCTGAACACACACTTTAAACATGTGTTTCGGACTTGCAAACATAATAACATATATAAACAAAACATATATAGGAGAAACTAAAAGAAAATTAAAAATAAGATTAAGTGAACATATCAGAGCAATTAAAGGAAAATATGCAAATTCGGCAGTATCGGACCATTGTAATTCAGAAGGTTGTACAATAGATCTAAATACGGTAAAAATTAGAAAAAAGGAAAAAAATAATTATAAAAGACAACTGTACGAGCNATTCGGCAGTATCGGACCATTGTAATTCAGAAGGTTGTACAATAGATCTAAATACGGTAAAAATTAGAAAAAAGGAAAAAAATAATTATAAAAGACAACTGTACGAGCATTTAAATATAATTAGGCAAACTAATAAAATGAATACCAACAGTGGTAGAGAAATCCACCAATCATGGTTAAGCATTATAAAAGGAAATGAGAATGTATTAGAAACAAAATTAAGCAGATACAAAAGAACCAAACAAAGTGAGTGATTTGAAATAATATTTTAGATAATGATTAAATTTATTGTTTTAAATTTGATTTTAATTGTCAAAAAAAATTAGGAATGTGTCAAATCGTATGGTTGCTGTGAATAGTAAGTGTAGGTGGAAGGATAGTGAAGATAGGCAATACAGAAATTGTAAGAATTTTTAAATATTTATTGTCGGGAAATGTCTGTGTTCTTAANATGTTTTTCACCTTCATTAAAATCATACACTGACATATCCAAACTAAGTTCTTTTTCACCTTTAGATTCATCTGGTTGTGACACAATTAAAACATAACTAACTTCGCCTGGGTTAGTATCAGAAGGGACAATAGTCACTGTTTGATAAGAATTTCCTGTAAAAGAACCAAACAAAGTGAGTGATTTCATATAATATTTTAGATAATGATTAAATTTATTGTTTTAAATTGATTTTAATTGTCAAAAAAATTAGGAATGTGTCAAATCGTATGGTTGCTGTGGATAGTAAGTCTAGGTGGAAGGATAGTGAAGATAGGCAATACAGAAATTGTAAGAATTTTTAAATATTTATTGTCGGGAAATGTCTGTGTTCTTAACTAGTTTTAGTGATAATTGTACTGAAAATTTTTATTGTTAATTATTGTTAATTATAGAAAGTGTCGTTGGAAGGCCTGCTGAAGAGGGACGAGCAAGTCCGAAACACATGTTTAAAGTGTATGTGTTCAGGTGAAATAAATAAAGAACATTATTTTTGAACTGTAAGACTAAATATCTGCATCCATAATTCCAGTGTAATAAGTCCTGTTAATATATAGATTGTACTAGTAATACAAAATAAATTTTAAATAGAGTTATTTTACAAAGTAATAAACAAACAGATATTAAGTTAATGACTAGTTAAACTCTAAGTGTAAATTGCAAAGTCAAGGTTTTCATAAATCCCATTTACAGTAAAAGTTCCATCTAATCACAGGCTCATTAAATCAAGATTTAAACTTCATTTCAAAGATATGAACTGAACTTTGAACAGTCTAAATATTTCTTCAACTGCAATCTTATTTAACATAGAACTTGATAGTAAATTGAGAGCATAACAAGCAAATAGAAAATATTGAAAGCAAATCCAACAAATAAAAAAAAATACATAACATTTAAGAAGATTCTATACAGAAGGAATGTTCCAATGCATATTAATATGTCTAGAATGAAATATGATGAAATCCTAAGGATATTCATGTATTTCATGGTAAGTAAGCTTTAGTTTACATCTTTCTAATACACTTTGATAGAATCACTTAAATCTTGTTTCAAATTTACAGCATTAATTAATTTATATATCTCAGAATTAGTCAAAATATTCAGTGATATTTACACATTGCTTATCACTATTTGAAAAAAAATAATGTTCCTCTATTTATTTTATTAAATTGTTTTACAGAATATTTAACAATAAATATATATATATATATATATACATACTATATACACATATACAATTTAACTGGTTTAGTATATATAATCTAAATTATAAATGTGATAATTTACAGATTATTTTGTTAAATATATATATATATAAT